GTCGCTCCAGCGCAGGACGGGGGCGTAGTTGCCGCCGACCTTGGCGCTGCCGACGCCGTTGGGGGCGGCGCGGTCAAACTCCTCGAGGATGAGAGCCTTGACGGGGTGCGTGCCGTGGTAGACGCCCGTGGGGATGACGAAGACGGCGAAGGTGTACTCGTCGGGGGGGCTCAGGCCAAGCTGGGCGCTGGAGCCGTAGATCTGGGGTCGGATGTAGAGGGCGGCGCCCGTCTCGTGGGGGGGCACGAACCCGGCGTTGAGGGCCACGGCGGCCCTGACGGCCTTGAGGAAGAGCTCCTCGGGGACTCGGGGCATGGAGACGACGTCGGCCGAGTGCTGCATGCGGCGGGCGTTGCGGTCGGGGCGGAAGATGGTGATGGCGGCGTCGTTGGGGGTTCGGAAGGCCTTGAGGCCCTCGTAGGCCTGCTGGCCGTAGTTCAAGGCCGGGGCCATGCCGTGGATTCGCATGTAGGGGTCGGCGACGAAGCGGAGGGGGGTCCATTCCCCGGTGGACTTGGACCAGGTGGACTCGATGTGGCCATTGACTGTTGGTATCGGTGCCAGTTAGAATGTGAAGGCTTCAGGTAGCCGTAGCTGAGCGTAGGAGAGGTGAAGTAGCGACCATCTTACCCTCGCGAACCTTGAAGCCGACATTGGACCAGTCAATGGTGTTGACTGGTGGTGGGGGAAAGGCTGACATGATTGAAGCCCGTAGATGTGATGTGGAAGCGTCTGGTTGTTCTTAGAGGGAGCGAAGACTCAGGTCAATGGATTCTCTTGTTTCTGAGGGCGCGGGAAAGCCGGAATGTCCCAACAAATTGTAATCGAGGAGACGACAAGCCATCTAATAGTTTGGTCATTCCATAGCGGGGCCCGATGTCGCTACAGGCTAGAGCTGTCTAGGGTCGCGGATATTCGAGGAGCTGCCATGAAGTGGGAGCATTTTGGCGGGGCTTCTCCGATCATCGCGGGGTAGTACGTCTGGTCTCTTACCCTATAGCCAATCATCGCAGCCTTATTTGCATCAAATTCATTTTGAGCAAGGCAGAGAGCAACCCAGAAAGAGATCAGTGACTCTCCCGGATATATACTTTGCTCATAGACTTCGAGAGAACAAAACTGCTCATTAAGATTTTGTGCTTAGATAGTTCAAGAGTAATGTTTTCCCTACAAATTAGGAGCAGTGAATGGTACACTCTGACCCGACACGCTGAAATCTCAGGTATATTCTTCAAGGAACCGAGTAAAGTAGGTATAGGTAGCTTCCTCTCATAAACACCGAGGACACCATTTCCGATCGTAAAACTCCCTCCATCTACTCAGACCAACCATCACCAGCACCAAGCATCCAATTCACGCTCACCAGATTCAACCCATTTTTGCTCACAAACGCAGCCGGGTCAAACGATCTCCTCTGCACAAACTCCTCTCCGCCAACATCCTCCTTTGTCAGATCAAGTCCCTTGGGCTCCCTAAAGAGCAGGAACAGGTAGCGGTGGGGTTTTGAGCTACAGCGCATCACCAAGTCAGTAGAATTCTCAAACGGAACTAGTCCGAGGGAGGGGGGGACGCACTCATCCTTTGGTCCCGGGCCAAGATACTCCGTCAGGGCGCGCTTCGTCTGCCCTACGATATCGTCTGCACTCTTCAGTGGCTGGAGACCCGGCAGGACCCAGTGTCGCCAGAAGGCAAACTTGGGGTCATCTGGCGTAGGTGCATCTGGGTCGACCAGTAGCAAGAGGTATGAGGCGCCGTCCGGGGCGCCATCCTTAGAGAGATCAGAGTTAGAAGATATATTGAATAACGCCAGGCTCTTAGTCGACACTTGGGGCCAGATATCTGTGCGTGGAAGTCCACGGGGAACCTGATCTCATAAGACTCACCTCCGAGGGGAATGAGACTGATGGCGCAGTCGCGACTTCAGTGACGCGGAAGAGGTTTCCGAGGTCCAGAGGGCGGTCGCCGTAAGTGATGTTGAGCTTGGTCGTTGGCTTGAATCCCTGAGGGATGAGGCTGGCGGCGGAGCCAGGGACCAGATTGGCCTTTTCAAGGGAGCTCGCCAGAGCGAGTGCATATTCTTCCAAAACCATTTTGTCAGTGATTTAGTTATTCTCGTGGTGTACAGTAGAATAAGACCCGATGAGGGAAAGTATTTGCAATAAAATTATCGCGATTTAAAGGGTACAGGATTCATGTATTTAAGCTATGGAGGAGGTGAGCACATCAATCACGATGAGGTCATTCTAGTGGTGGAATAATCAGCTTGTTTCGCCAAAGCATGACGCATGTAACCTCAGGTTCCAGCTACCTAATTAGTGGCAACCAACGAACTTGCCGACGGTAAGACTGGAGATCAGCAATCGATTGGCTAGCGCCTTGGAATATTGCTGCGCCCACCAGATCCAACTCAAATGGCCCAGCGCGTGTTTTGGACGGGAGCAACAAGACCTCCGGGTCCGAGGACATAAGTATGTGGTCTTTAGGGCGCTCTATTCAACCCACTGCAAGTACTGCTATTGCTGCTACAATGAGGGGCATGAGGGGACTCTGTATTTCTGTCTTGCATTATGCGTCCTTTTCTTCGCAGTTCCTACTCGATATCCTCAAACTCAAACTTGACAAGCACGCTGCAGTCGCTTTCCTTGCCCTTGAGGTCCATCATGCGGAGAAAGCTCCAGCCCGGTGTGACATACGAAAGACGCACTGCAAGGGCGGCAACAATGGGGTTCACGGCCCATGAATCATCACTCTTGATAAGGAGTCTCAGAAATACGAGCTCATTGTCGTCGTACTCCCACTCGAGTGTCTCATCCCAGATCGGGTCGGTGGGCGGGGGATTCTCACCACGGTGGAGGAAGCCAAGTTTATGCTGTCGATACGCCGAAGTCTTGCGTTTCGGTGGCTCGTTTTCAAGGTCGTCCGGGTGATATAGATTGCAAGTGAGGTATGGCTTGATCGCATTGTCCCCGTCATTGTCGTCCTGAAGGGGCACATTGGATGCACCTGCGACATGTAGACGCAGCCGCTTCTTCCGCCCAGTAGCGATATTTCCACTACCTCCGGCGCGGAGAGCTTCGGGTTTCAGGACGAAGCCATCCGTGCCGAAGAAGAGCGCATCATTCAGCTGATTGCTCGTGCCGTACGTCTGCCAGTTCAGAGCGCAGACCTGGGCACCCAGACCCCAGAATGGGACAGGCTTCAGATTCGACGACGTAATGCGTGTACCCTTGGGAAAGACTCTCATCAAGTGGCGCGAGTTATGGATGGAAATTGGCACCTTGTTCGCTGGCAAATGGGTTTTCAATCCAGACTCTGATACGTTGATAAGATGATGGTGTGGTCCATTGAGAAGCTCGCCGGAATCAAACCATGAGTTGTTAACGGGCTTGACGGATTGCGCGTAGACTCCTAGCGCTGCAAGCTCCGGGACGATGAGGGTAGAAGGCTGGGTCTTCTTCTTCTGCTTATACTCCTGCCTGGCCTTCCTTTCCTCCTCAGTGATTTCGACGCCGTCCTCCTCCTCTTCTTCTTCGTCATCGTCATCATCGTGCTCGACTTCATCGGGGAAATGGAACTCGACGATAACCGCGATACTGGCACGAAGCTCTTTCAAGGTTACATGTTCGGGATCGGCTCCCTCGCGAATTGCTTTACTGAGCAGCCGATCACCCCAGACCTCATTCATGATCTGGACCAAGCGCAGCTGTCCCTCAGGGCCGCAGTGATTCTCAAGGGAGATCAGGATGGGCGAGGGCTCCTGGCCCGGCGTCTTGAAAGTAGCTTCAAGCTCCTCGTCATACACATCTCGGATCGTCTCGCAAACGGCTCGGAACGGAATGTGGGACACCAATGTATACCCGTGGGTTACCTTGGGCTCTTGGACGTTGTCGGGATTGTCCCAGGCATCAATCTCGACACAGCGAGAGCCGGTGGTCAGAGCAGTTCTGTACCCTGAGGCATTCGATTCTCCAAACAGCTGGTGGGCCAGCAGGTAGGTGTTGTGGCTGGAGCTGATGAAATAGTCGGGGAGGGGGTATGATCGGTCGGTCACGATGGGAGGGACGTGGATGTGAGGCTTGCAAAGGAGCGAACGCAGCGCTTCGGTGTGATGTTCTGCGCCGAGGCCAACATCTCGCTCGGGAAGGATCTCGTTTTTGGCAATAAACGCCTTGAGGGCATGGCTGACTGGCAGGGTGGCCTTGGCCGAGTCGAGAATGTGGAAATGGTTGCCCACAGCGCCAGGTTCGATGGTGTCGCCGACGTCCTCGTTGCCCTTGCGGCTGTGCTTAGAAAAGGGGTTCAAATTGGCGATTTGTGCCGTGATGTCGGCCATGATCGAATCGAGACCAAGGGGCTTGCCTTGAAGTGGGACGTAAAAAGGTGCGTGGGGCTGGTTCCTGCTCGTAGGGCTGTTGAGCTACCCTGCGTCGTCTGTTTTGAGGGAGATGGCAGAGTAGAGTTTGGCGGGGCAATACCGAAGGCGATTGCTGAATGAGGGGGTGAGAGCTCGGGGTGATGCTCTCGATAACTGCCCTGCTAGCTGCGGTAAGGCAATCGTTGGTTCAGTCGATGATACGCTTGTTGGCAGCTTGCGTCATCAGCTCAGGCCAAGGAGGGGTTTGGTGAGGACATTTGGTTCATCAGCTGCGTTGTAATGGGCCGTTAGCCGCGTGATGCCTGAAACGGGATGCCAAGATCCTTCGCGGCATCTCAGTGTGGTCCCATGTAAGCTGAGCTATCAATGGATGGGTGAAACTGGCCATCCCTTCCCATAATCATTGATACGCTCTGGTCCAGCCCATTCTATTTCACGTGAAACAGTCCGAGAGAGGAGCATGCTGATTCAGTGGCGATGGAAAGAGCACCCATTCAGTCCAGGTAGGTAATTGGCTGAGGAGATTTGTTAGTACTCATTAATTGGCAAGGGCGATCAAGCACCCAGTAGAGTAGCTATAGCAGGCCAATTGCTTCAAGAGGGGCATTTTTAGTCTCTTGGAGGGGTACCTGGATGCATTGAGAGCTATAATCAAGTCTCTAGCGACCAATTCCTCCTCCATTGACCATCATGGCATACAGCTTATACGACGGAACAATTCCTGTCCTCAAGGCTGCCCTCAAGGACACGGCACACCTCCTTGAGGCGGCTCAGAAGCAGCCCAATGCCAGCAGCCTCCTTGGAGCCCGTCTCTACGAGGATATGAAGCCGCTCACTTTCCAAGTCTACACGGTCACAAAATTCACTGAGATAATCAATGCTCGGCTGTCGGGGAGGGAGACCATCGTGTATGAGGACGACATGACTTCGTACGACGAGATGCATGCGCGCATCAACGAGGTCCTTGCCCGGGTCGAGAACACGGACAAGGACGTGGTGAACAAGCTTGGCGAGGAGGCGGCGCCCACCGCAATGGGGCCGGGTGTCACGATGGATCTGACAGGCAAGGCATATGCACACGGTGTGACGCTCCCGAATATTCTCTTCCATGTGTCCATTACGTACGCGATACTCAGGAAAGAAGGCGTTCCATTGGGAAAAGCCGACTTCATGATGCCGTTTGTTCGCGAGTACGTTCCTGGTGTTTAGGGTGGTGCTGGGGCATCTGGAAGGCGAGGCTCTTGCGGGTCACTTGATTTCCGGTCTATGGAGCTCGGTGTCATGCGACATATAGAAAGAGGTCATTGGGATTGAAATTAAAAGAGTGCGATTGAAATTTCGAATTAATTGGTCTGCTGGATCAATTCATGAATGAGAAATCATGAATGAGAAATCATGATGGTATCGCAGCTATCATGACCAATGATGCAGATTGGTGCCTTAGAACTCAGGCTGCAACAGCGCCAGGATTCAGGCACACATTCAGCCCCACTTTTACAACCACCTACATCTTCAATCTTGGCCGAAATTTTTTCATTCCGTTTCCTTCTTTTCTCCATTATTGAACAACGCAAAAAACAACGTTCAGGTTTCTCTTCACATTTGATGCGAGGCCCGCCTCGTGCGAGCGCCCAAGACCATCGATCGCGAGGAACGCAGAATGGAGAACAGACTACAGCGAACAATCTTGGGTGCGGTGCTTCCCTCCGCCTCGTGCGTAATGGGGAGGACCGCAATGATTGAACGTACATATTAACTCACATTGCATGTAGACACTTGCAACCCAGCCCTGGTAGTTTTCCTTCTAATTCACCATCATGTAGTTCCTAAGATGGAAGAGTAAACGGCGAGATCAACCTCGAGCTGTGCGGCAACGTCTGGAACATCTGGGCGCCGAAATGTTTCATCACGATTGATCGGGCGAACCTAGTCTTTCTTCTTTTCTCGCCATGCAGGCAACGTGAAATACCGTCGGTCAGACAAATGAATGTTCAGACGAAGGCACAGACACTCTGCCTGCGTGAAATTTTTATTGTCGTCCATCATATTGATTGAGGCACGAGCTCCGCTGAACGGCAATGCAAACAGCCATGACACACGATATCTACCAATCCACGGCATCTTCTGAGAAGCGTGGCCAACGCGACTGTCATGACGGCTGACGTCTTAGGATTGACGCGAGTGTCCTCGTCGTACCACTTCTGCTGCTACGGCGGCGCATGGACGAGGTAAAATTTTACTACTCGAGGAGTGGTAGAAGCCACCATGTCGATGGTGCTTTACCAAATATTCATCATCTGTTCACCATAATCGTTGATCTACGAATAGGTAGTCTTTGGCCACCTTCTGCACCAAAACTCGAGGATGAATGATATCCATTATGCTGCCTAGTTATACACTGCCTGAACCGATCCATACCAAGCCTGAAAGCCAGTTTCTAAGCACCGCTTCCTTCAGATGTAGGAAATAAGAATGCTTCCAAGGTAATGTCCAAAAGAGATCATCAATTAAGATAAAAGAGCGAGGTCGAATCGACGTCTCGCCATACAAAGGAAAAAATAGCCAAGACCACCCCGGAGACTCATGATTCATCAATACTTTGTGAGAGTTCCAGGGCGCAAGAAGAAGAAGATTGGACGTATAGATATCTGTCGCTCGTGCACCAGGCAACATTGCGTTTCGGTTCTTTTGTATTGTTGGTTGCTGCCATGTTGGCAGAGTTTCCTCAGCTCATGGTGAGGAGTATTCATATGTTGTCAGAGCGATGAGCACCTGGAGAAGAATGCAGCTGTTAGCCTATGCTCCCCACAACGGACGAAAGAAAGTTGAGACATACTTATACTCTGAGCTCCTCGGCTCTCTTCTTGTTCTTCCAGCAAGGCTGGCCGATACGAGTGCACCACGGGTCGGGGTTCGCCTCAGGGATGGGCTCAGGCTCCGGGGCAGCGGTTGGCTCAGGCATAGCAAGTGCTTCGGCATTTCGCTTCTTGTTCTTCCAGCATGGCTGTCCGATGCGAGTGCACCACGGGTCTGGGTCGGCTTCGGCGGCGGGCTCAGGCTCAGGGGCGGCGGTTGGTTCGGGCTCAGGCATGGGCTCGGCCTCTCGCTTCTTGTTCTTCCAGCAAGGTTGTCCGATACGGGTGCACCATGGATCAGGGTTCGCCTCAGGGGCGGGCTCCGGATTGGGAGCTGCCGTGGGCTCGGGCATGGCGAAGGGTTCAGCATTGCGCTTGTTCTTCCAGCAAGGCTGACCGATGCGGGTGCACCAGGGGTCGGGGTCGGCAACGGCCTCGGCAGCAGGACTGGCGAGGGCGCCGCTGGCGAAGAGGGCCAAGGCAGGGAGGTAGAACTTCATGGTAAAGGTAGGGAGGTTGTTTTGGTGTTGTCTTGCGTAAGTGGTTGTTGTAGTAGTTGTTTTTTGGATGTTGGTGTTGGATCAGAACGGAGGAGGATGAGTTGACAGACGGAAGAAGCTGCCTATTTATCTGCATATTGCAAGAACAAGTCCTCATTATCTTCTTCTCTTTTGATACTATTCACATGATTCGAATTGCGAGCATGTGAGATTGGGATCATAGCTCACTATTGGGCGCTCGCTTTGTTGACTATTGATGTTATTGATGGGTTGGCTCAATAAGCACCCTCCATTGCCACAACCTCAGGCCCCATGACACTAATCTTCCCACCAGGAACCATCAAGTTCAACGGAAAGCTTCTAGACAATTGTGAAACTTTGTGATATTATGAAGAGCTAGAGAATTTTAGGCATGGTTGATGGCATATTGATTTCAGGCCGCAATGGTGAGTTGTTCATCCCGTTTTTCTCAACTTTGTCACTATATACGAGTTCCAGTTATAGAAATCGCCCATCCTATTTCTATCATTTAACAAATTAGATATTTGTGAAAGAAGTGCGCCTGGTATTGTTCTGTTAAAAAGCAATCTATGAAGGAAGTGGACAGCGTGCTAGGCTCGCTGCCGCGCTTGGAAGACCCAATTCAAGTTGCCAAGTGATTGCTGCAAGGGCTGGACGGAAGTTTTCGCCACATATCCTGAATAATTTTAATTACTTACTGAGAGAACCGGATTGATTCGTGTAGATAAGTGGTAGTTTGAGAGGGAGATTGAGTGGCTATGCGAGGAGGTTATTGAGGTTCTATTGACACCCAAAAGAGGAAATCGGTCGGCCCTCCCCCTCCCCCACGACTAATCATCAAAGACCGGCAAGACAAGCCTGCAATTGAAACAAATGATGATCTACAAAGGCTATCTGTAATTCTATCGGCCTTGATATCACGAGACGAGCCAGGATGGGGGCGCCTCTGTCATGATAGTGCGCATCGCTTAGCCTCCATGTTCATTGACAGGGCAAAGGTGTGTGATCCATGCCCAATTAGCCCAACTGGAAAGAAAAAAAAGCGTCGAACGGTGCTTCTGACAGAATTTTGTTTGGTAGAATGGGAAGGGGAAATATAATTATCTCTTGCTCACTCGTCTGTGGTTATTGAAGCACGTTGAGGAAACATTGGTAACGAACGTGTCCAATGTCACTCCCGCATAACAAATGATGCCGAAGATGTGGTTACCCAAAGCGAACCCCGAGATCCTAAGCAAACTTGGAATCATTCTATGGCTTACTTTTTATGGTTGTAAGTTCGTAGTGGCTGTCAGTATGGGAAGTGAATGCGTGGAGGCAAGGTCTAATCGTGGGCGACACTACCTGGTACAGGGGACGCCTATCCCGAGTTAACGCTCGGGAGGCCAATCCTGTGGCGAGTCTGGGTTGCGCCAGACCGTCGCAACGCGCGGAAAGGAGTGAGCTCTTCGGAGCTTAAGGTACGTGCTAATCCCATGGGAAACCATGTCTCTGTGACTAGGCCCGACAGGCCGAAGCACGGGGAGGCAGGCGGTAAAACACCTGCTGGACCTCACTGTCACGGTTCGCCGCGGCGTGGGAAATGCTGTGATGCCCTTAGATGTTCTGGGCCGCACGCGCGCTACACTGACGGAGCCAGCGAGTACTCCCTTGGCCGAAAGGCCTGGGTAATCTTGCTAAACTCCGTCGTGCTGTGCTGGGGATAGAGCATTGCAATGATTGCTCTTCAAAGAGGAATCCCTAGTAAGCGCAAGTCATCAGCTTGCGTTGATTAGGTACGTCCCTGCCCTTTGTACACACCGCCCGTCGCTACTACCGATTGAATGGCTCAATTGGAATCTCTCTTGGAGTGGAGAGCTATTGGACCAGGAACAGGTGGCTGAAACTCCTCAAAGATATACAAGGGATTAATTGATGCTCGTATCGGTCGAGTTAAGACCCTTTAAACGCCCTGGACAAGCTGTTGGAGTACGATTTGGATGAGTCTGGAGCAGCACGGAGCCGCGAGTTTCCCCCTCCCTAGGCTAGCCGATCGCCACATCCTTGGATGTTTAGAGTCGGAGTATTAAGTAGCAGTATGTGCAAAGACAAAGATGTGCAATCAAGGTAAGCTGAGTTGGGCTTGCTGGGATTTCTTCTAGAGCAAGAATTGCAATGGCCTACCCCCATCAAGTCAGATCCAAAGAAGATGACCCAGACTTTTGGCCAAGTGAACACTATCTGGCTCCGATCCTTGTGGAATTTCAGTGATTCCAGCTTTCAGTCAATTGAGAGTCAGTGTACGGCCAAAGTAGTATGAGCCAGTTGAGTAACCGAAGTTGTCGTTTGCTGCCTGGGCTTAGTGAGTCTTACAGCTAGATTAAATGAAGCCCTAACTTCCCTTTTTACGGCTATATCAGCATTTGAACCCAAGTAAACAGATAGCATCTTGAGCATTTACTGTCAAAAGTTCAATTCAACTCCACTTCCGGCCAAGACCTCCAGACCTACCTCGTATAACCACTCCCGCACGGCTTGGCTGCGAGTAATTCATTTTGCATCCGGTCAAGCTTTTGTCACTCCCTGGTCATTAAACATGGCCAAGGGAGTCTTGGCCGCCTGCTTGATGTTGATCGGATTTGGCATGACTCCGACAAATTGAGGCTTCAATCATCGAATCATGAATATCGAGATTCGGCCATCCAAGTGATACCCTTGGAATCTGGACGATGATGGCTCTACTGTGAGTGAGAATCCTGATTGGTGATGCAACCAACCAGATCGTAGCCATCAGGTATGAGCACTGCGCCTGGATATGTATTTCATGAGAGTTTGAGCAATTGGGCTTTATAACTATTCATCATCCATCTCTATTAATACTCTTACCCACCTCAGCCAAGCTGGAAATTACTTCTGTCGAACCTCGCCACCCCATGAAACTCTAACTACACATATATACACATACGAAACATCAACAGTATTAGGCTCCCCGAGACGCTAGATGAATCTCGGATGATGATTTTGGCAGATCGGCCCTGTCCTCCCTCGTCACTCGATGCCTTGCCCCGCCCGTTACCGCGGCCTCCTGGAAGCTCTCAACTTCCGAGTCCGATTCTCGCTGCTCGCTCTTGACGACGATCTCTGTTGTTGTCATTATCACCCCATTGCTGGCAGAGCCCTCGGCTGACCTCCCGCTAGTATCGGCCTCCTCATTACCCTTGTGGGCATACGCCGAATATGAGACATTGGGGTTTCGGGAGACGCCACCGTTCTTGGTCGTCTCTAACTCGATACCCGCGTTCGTTATGGCAGTTCTCCCTCCATACGCCGAGGATTTGTTCTGGTCTCCAGAGCTGCTGTGGTCCCTGTTTCCGGTGGTCATTTCCACCAGCTTGTTGAGGATGTTGAACTCCATCTTCAGCTTGACACTGTACACAAGGGCCTTGTACGATGTCTGGATGTCATACATGTTGCTGTATTCGAGACCGAGAATTGTGATGTCGAGGAGGATGATGACCACGTTCACGACGATGAGGTGGTACATGAGGTTCCGCGATCGCTTCTTGTTTCTCATCACGACCTGTAGTCGGCTGAGTCGCACGGTTTCGACGATGTAAAAGGCCGAGAGGATTAGTTCTTGGATGAAGAAGACAGTCACCTGGACCTTCTCATAGATTCTAATGAACTATGAGTATCTCTCTTCACTCTAAATGGCAATGAAAGCCTCTGGCCTCCGCAAGATGACTTACCCATATGGTCCCACCCATTTATCAGGATCAGGTCCGTTGGCGCCGTACAGCATCACGAGAATGGGGACATGCAAAATGATAGCGTCCACGATGATCATCCCGAGAACCATCTTGAGTCGGAAGTTGGACCGCACAATCAAGTGCAGCCGAGACCATAGCACTAGTGATTGACCCGTGACCATGGCCACCCACCCGGCACCGATGAATGTGACATAGACGTAGACGACTTTCTCTGGCATGAACGACTTCAAGATGAACCCGACCGAGTAGAACAAAATGCCGTAGGTGGACACTATAAAGGTCCAAAAGTACATTCCGGAGTGCCTCTTGAAGGAACCCCAGATGACGAAGGTGAGCTCGATGACATTGTAGATGGCGATGCAGGCAAACACCAATATGACATAGGAGTTCCTGGGAAGAGGGTTAGGGTCAGTTTCGAGTCCTGTGAAACACACTTGGAGGATAGGGCTATTATCACATACGGGCCTGTCACCGCATGATCCCTTGCGATGCCGCTGTCCTCCCCAGCCATCGCGGATTAATGAACGAATAAGGCTTGCAAACAAGTAATGAGCGGATGGCACTTGATCGAGCGTCGATCTCCAGCCTATGACGGGAAGCGAAGAGGGTTCAATGACATTTAGAGAGGAGAGCACTCGGTATGGGCACCCGGGTCACGACTACTACTTATGCATACCATCCACACCGGCCCCCCAAACCGTCGCCGGTTTCTGAACTCGTCCCATGCCTTTCCGGGATGTCATTCGCGCGGTGATCCTTCTAGCTAGACTGCGGAAAAAATCCTTGACACCCAGCGAGATGAACGATGGGCTAGACTAGGTTGTTTACCAATCGCTTCAGTTGGAGCTCTTTCCGCGGTGGTGGGAGGGCCAGGGGGAAGAACGCTTGTGCTGCATGGCTCTAATAGTCGGCACGCTGGCCCATCCTCCCAAGGAACTGCACTGTAGATCTCATTGCTCACATGTGTTGTCCCCCAGAACCTCAGACATCACTAACGCAGAGTACTGACTCGTTCAAAACATCCCTTAGCAAAGCTTTTTGCCGCCACTCCATACGTTGCAGACATATGAGCGGCTTGTGACGTGTCCGAGGGGGTAGGACGAGTCGGTTCTAGCATGAACAGCATCCGCCTAGCAGTAAGGGGATTGGACTTTCCTGCCGGGAGGTGGCAGAGGAGTGGACACGGGGATGCAATCAAGGACCAGTTAATGGAGCCAAGGATGATCGTCCCTAAACGGCCGTTGAAGATGGGGGGATGGATGGAGCCGAACGAGCCTCGAGTGAGGTTAGTGGCGTTCAGCTCGTTGCTCCTCGCGGTCTGTCGTGTCTAGAGTTAATTACAACTAGACCAGCCCGAGCACTTGGTTCCAAATCTGGGGAAGCCAGCCTGGCGCTAGAAAAACCAGCCCAGCAGCGCTGACGACGGGATTCTCTTCCGCCCGCGGTGGAGGCCGTGATGGTATTAGGCCGAGGTCGAAGCTAGATTGAGGATGGTAAGACATGTCAAATTTCACATCTCGAGGTCGAGAGTCACCTGCAGACGATTCGTGACCCTCTTTTTTAGCTTCATGATCGACAAGAGCTGTTCGGCTTCGCAGAATAACCGAACACTTCATAGCAAGGGGTTGGTGTCTTCGAGTGCTGCATTGTCCATTGTGTCGAAGGATGCCTTATCAATCCGAGATATATTACATATATCTCCATCCTTGGGGCATACTCGATATCATCTGGCCTTCGCTATTGTATGTGTCGGAACAACATGGGTCTTCGGGTATCGGCTTTCCAGTGGTTTGGTTTGGCTAGCAATTTATTATTGCTCAGCTCAGCCCAGTACTTGGCAATCTGGACAGGGTTCCTGTGGGTGCACACCGAAGTACCGAGCTCGGGGAGGAACACCGACATTGTTTGATGACAATGGATGAATTTGCTGACCATCGTCGCTTGATGAGGTTCCATGATCTGCGTTCTCCCTCATCTCCGACACAACCCCCTCTTGGTTCTACTTTGAAATCCCGTGAATTGGCTTTTGAAGCACCGCATTCCTCTGTTGCTTTTGAGAGATACCGCTGATTTAGTACATAGGATCAAGTCGAACAGCCACCAGCAGCTAGCCGCAGGATGGGTGGAGAGAGGAAAATTGAGCCAGAATGCGGCTACCAATCGGCTTCCTCCAGTGACTAGACCGTTGAGACCAATTCATGGTACGGAGTCTTCACTGACGGCGATGGCTTTGAGAAAGAGACAGCTGGAACGTCCCCCCCTGTGGCGAATGCAATGATTGCTGAAACACGCGGCTTGACTCGAGACGTCGATCGCTCCCAAGTCCATCACCCCCGGATTTTCACGTTAAGCACCAATTAGGAATGTTGTTTTTAAAAGGGGCCAGGATCAGGAAATTTCAGATGTTCGGTTTTCATCGGCGTGATACATTCAAAGGTCATCAATGACATTGCGCTCGTTGCCTAGTACTAGACATCGTTCCAACCTTGGGCAAGATATCCCAAGATGATTTGAGGTCGGGACCTCCCGGGTTACTTTGATTTGTAGCCTTCTAAACTAGATCAGGTGATTTTGATGCAATGCAAGAAATTAGAGTTCAGCCATTCTGCTGCCCGTGGTGACTTCTCGGCACCTCCCGGCTGCTATCCAAATCTTCAACAGACAGGGAGGCCAGCTGGCTTCCATGCGAGATTTTGCAATCAACATCAATCAATAGCTTAAAAATAGGGCGAACATGTCGTGGAGCACTACTGCTGCAAATCATTATCTGTCATTACCGCATATTCCCCCTGTATCGTCCCCAGCCTCATCGTGGTACACTGACGGAATCATATTCGCTGGCGTTCTGCGGGCTACCTCAGGTACTGCTTGGACCCTGGAAGACGCAGTTATCCACACTGCCACCTTTAGTACGATATTTGGAGCTGCTAAACGAACAAGAGTGCGCGATCTCTCGATGGTCAGGACGGGGAACAAGGCAGACGTGCCAAGCATCTAGCCCGTTTCTCTCTGCTAGCTAAGAAAAGCGTAGCATGAGATAGTTATTGATACTATTGTCGCCGGGTCAAGTTTCCTGTTATTGCTAGTTGACATATTGGGTCAAAAATAAAGCTGTAATGATACTCGTGAGCCACAAGATGCTTCTCAAGGCTCACCCACACGAAATGCCGCTTACAAAGATAGTGAGGCCATATATCACCATATTATCATACATAGGAAAGGTAGAGAGCCCCCATAGCCCTTCTTTTAGGGAGCATATAAAGCAGTGTCGACTGGAAGTGCTGGCGAGGCTGGCGGCGAGGGTTGCAAGAAGTAGCGTAGACCATCAGCTCCTACTGAGGTGTAGTCAATACTAGGAGAAACTAAACACCATATTATAGGTGATGTCAACACCCGTTAGAGATGATACTTCCCCAAGAGGGAGTGAGTATGCAGTGATAGAGAACCTCAGTTGCCTAGAGACAAAGGCCAGCTTGGCAGGCATTAACGTACCCGTAGCCTGACCTAATATCGACCTGGCAATAGTTTGATCTAGATAGACTAGGAAATAGCCGATTTCCGGAAGCGCATGCTAGCCACAGTCTGTAATTGAATATCCACAGGCTTTGCATGGTCTCATCCAGCTCACACGTAGCCAGCTCACACAGCCAACTCGGCTGTTGACTGGTGTCATCTTCACAGTACTTTGCGAAACTTTCTTTCGAGTGTTGATTTTTACTAATTTACCTTGGTGAGTAAATAAATAGTATTGTATTCAGTCGCCTGATAAATCAAAAAGACGTTCTTGACCGTCACTCCTTCAGCCCGTCAGTCTCTTTAGCCCAGCTCGTCAGACAACCAGATAGCTTGAACAAGGGAATGGTCTTTGCATGCCATCTCATTTTCTTAAGTGGATCAATCTTAGAGATGAAATGATGTGATGTGGATGATGTTGGGTATCCTGTGTCTAGCTGAGTCGCCTTTTCTGTCGGAGCATCGTCTGTCTCGCTGATGGTTTCTGAACTGCCGTCTGCCTAGCTGATGGTTTATGTGCTGCTGTTTCCCGAGCTAGTTCCTTCTGGGCGGCCGTGTGCCTGGATGATGGCTTCTGTGCCGCTGCTTGTCTTGACGAGGGCATTGGGTCGACGAAGGCTCGGGAGCTGCGAGTGGTTGGTTTGGATTGCTGACTTCAACCAGTCGATAAAACTTAGATATTCGTGTGTCTAGGACTGAGGCGGGATAATTAGACGGAAAACATGATGCCTATATATATGTCTTCTCGCGGAAGGGCCGGGCGCAGCTGCATTCAATTGCGTTCCACAGCCTTCTACGTCGGCCCACCGCATGATTTTGAAGTTATATTGATCCCAACTCCTGCATCAATAACTATGCTTGAATGCAATAATAGTACCGTATATCTAATTTACGGTCCGGGAAACCATAAGTATCTAGTAGCGACATCTCGGATTTTCTTGTGTGTAAAACCCTTGTCCTAAAATACAGATGAGCCGTGATGTGCGCCCAGGTAGGGTTCATGCGGCTCGTGGAGTGATGGTGATTCGGTAGTACGGGACCCTGGGTCGACGACATTAATTTCGCCTTGGCCAAGCTTTTGTGACTCAGGAGGAGATCTGAGTGAGCTTTAATATCGACGTTGGTCATCTCAAGCCTGTAAGCTTCTAGACACATGCTTGTAAGGGGGGGAAACGGGGAGACAACACGAAAGAAGAGGAAAAAAGAAGAAGAAGCTACGCTAATAGCGATAATTGGCACCCGATACAAAGGAGTATATATTCTGTTTAATTATTACCCAGTCACTGAGAATTCTTGTAATTCATCACTTTTGTTGGTGGCCTTCTGCGTCACGCCAGGCCTCAAACCACTCGTATGCCCTCGGTTAAAGTTGATGTGCCTGTGATTGCCCTCGAGGTTTTTTCTTTGTCAGTAGATTGCAGTGTATTACAGGAACAAAACCCTCGACTTTGATGTTATGCGGGAAACAAAAGGGTCAATGCTTGCCCAGTTCATGGCAAGCTTTGACGCTCCAGGGTATGATTGACAACACGGTCTTTGCCGATAGCTGAACATGTTTTCAATTTCAGGAAATTCAAGTGTGCCTAGGTATATGTCTGCAATTCGGTGTGACAAGGCCAGAGCCCGTTGCCATAACTCAGGATGGCACTGCATGATGGCACCCATCCTGGGGATTGGGTCCTTTGACTTCGCGGCACAGTTCATTGACGCCTTGACCTCGATTGCGGGCTTCCCGGTCGAGATTGAAAGGGGTCGCCAAGGACCTTACCTTCCACGATGAGCTTTTTCTTTGTTGCACCTTGATTCCTGAGATCTTAATATTCTTGGATAATTCATAGCATTAACGCTTGTCTGTTATGAGTTGGGAGGAGGACTCCGTTGCCCTGTGGGATGAGGCAGAATTTACAAGGGAGATCTTTGTTGGGTGATCTGTCACGGATGATTTGCCGCACAGCCGTGAGATGATACGGCAGGGTCATGTTAGCTAGGCTGTAGCTGATACATCTTTGGGCTGGCCTTGAGGAGGGACAGGCCGCGGGACCAGACCCAGACTGTCCATCTTTTTCAATACATCGTCAAAATGTAGTAGCATTTGTCTGAATAGGGCCGCTCTGTTCCATGGCAGCTTTCAAAGGTAGAGAGCAAGTAGAGCAGCGGAGAACATTTATTTCGACAGAGTAACAGAGTACCGTTATACAGCTTGTATAATAGATACTGAATAATAGAGGTCCAAGCTTGCGTTCATGCTTACCGACCTCAATCATCTCCACACAGGCTGATCCGGGCACTAATTTACACCGGCGGGGCTGCTCAGGGGAAGGAGAGGTTACAGCATCCTTGTTTTAGCATCGTCGAGGCGTCCGAATGGAGGAAATGCTTGTTTGAAATGTGGGTGAATCAAGTCTGATGCAAATGCCGATCATCCCCTGTTCCCCTCCACCCACATGTTCCCAACAACAACAATTTGTCTACCATCCAGTATGTCGGATAATCCAGTCCCTCATTTACATATTGTTTGGCGCTTGTTCTCGCTCGAGACCGACTCGGTTGCACTGTTCTAGCCGCCAGGCTGCGTGTGTCGCGGCCAGCCAAGCTCTGGCTTGTTTTAAGCGCCTGCCCACGAGCGTTGTCGCCCATTGATTCCAGCCCGTCTGTTTCATGATGCTCGTCCGGGGACCTGGACAAGATTGACGCTTCGCCAATCAATGCTGCCTCAGGGATGTGCCCGCATGATGGAACCAAGACACTTGCGACCATTCAAGCCTCAGAGCATGATGACGGGTCCACGCTTGGCAGGCGACAGGTCGCGTATCTGACCTGGCAAAGGCCCAGTCTGGTGCTTGTTGTCGTCGGCAGTCTGCTCTCGGTCATCCCAGCAGAAGGTTGCATTGTGTATTAATACTCGGGAGGGCCCGTCGCTGCCTCACCGCGGCATCGTTTGCGTGAACAAAGCGTTTCGACTTCTCTCTTTCTCCCTGTCCCCTCCCAGGTCCCGTTCTTTGCATTGTCCTGTGGCATTGATGTGCCTTTCTTTTCACTCATTCATTCACTCGCCATTCATTCATTTATTCATTATTCTTCTCCAGGAAGCTGGGCTTTCTTATCCCGCGTGAAACCGTTCTCTGTTGCCACTGAGAAATCACCGAAAAAAAAACAGACCAGTTTCACTCGATATCCAAAGATGCGTTTCTCCAGTACCGTGCTAGCCACGGTGCTGTCGACTTTACTTCCTGTTACACAGGCTGGTCCTGTACTCATAGCACCACGCCCCCCGCTGCTCCCCAGCAACGGGGACTTCCACGGCTTCGACAATTCGATATTAGATCGAAAGGCCAAGGTTGCGATCTCTTCCATCTCGAACACCACCGACGACGACGGCAGCGTCTCGACAATACAGTCCAGCTGGATCAACGCCCAGCCCCCCGAGATCCGCCTCCTCCCCCGGTCCAGCTTCTCCTCCGACGCCAGCGCCGTCGTCCAGCCCAACACGCCGGCCAAGGACAAGTTCGTCCTCAAGCGCTTCATCTTCGGCACCGACAACCGGTACCACTGGAACCTCCAGGTATTTCCCTACCGCGCCGTCGGCCGCATCTCCTGGAGCTCCGGGGTCATCTGCTCCGGCGCCCTCGTCGGCCCCCGCCACGTGCTGACGGCGAGGCACTGCCTCCCCAAGGCGGGGGACAGGCTCACCGGCCGCTTCGCGCCCAGCTTCGACGAGGGCGTCGAGCGTGCGGGAGGGGCCAATATCAAGGTGGCGCTGGCCAGCCAGCCCGTGAGCAATGACAGGGATGGGTGCGGGACCAAGTTTGACTGGGCGGTGCTGGTGCTGGACGACACACTGGGGGACAATGTAGGGTGGTTTGGGGTGCGGACTCCCCAGAAGGAGTACTTTGACATGCCTGTGTTCTACCACATGGGATACCCGGGGGATAAGGACGGCGGGTCACAGCCGAATCTCATGACGCATATTACCGTGTTTGGGGACAGGACATTTGACTGTGATGGGACGGGGCCGTTCTATACGGATACGGATGCAGTTGGTGGGCAGTCGGGAGGGCCGCACTGGCTGCCGGATGAAGAGGGAAACAGGTGGATTTGGGGCGCATTGTCCATTGGCGTGAGTTACGGGGCGGGCCAGGGATACTCTGGCTTCTCCTCCGGGGCAGAGATGATCGATGCCATCAACCAGATGCGGGAGGAGTTTCCGTGACGGCGTTTCTCGAGATATATCGGCTGGGTTTACTGTTATGGTTATGCATTTGTTATTGGTGACAAAGGAGCGAGCATATACAGAATTATGAACGTTATGATATTCAAGTACGATAAAAATTGTGAAGATTGACAGGCGGGAGGGATCTCAAGAACAATAGTTGCAACATGCAAAGGTGTCACTCCCTGATTGTTTCTCAATTGACCTAGTTTGCCACTGTGGCCAGTATGAACAGGCCATAACAGCTACTGCGAAGAACGTATGGGATTTGAAGAATAAAAAAAAGCACAAATCTTTGGCATTTGTCAGGAACCAAAGTTTGATATTCATCAACGTGGTTGATTATTAGTGGGCCAGATCAGCATCCGGATCTTTTCCCCCGGAGCATCTGCGAACCATCAACGACGGAAAGGTCAGCAAGTACTCCAATACACGCTAGTATGTTTTATTTGCATGCATGCATCTAACCTACATCGATAATGTGAAATAAAAGAGGTCGGGATAAACTCAGACCTAAAAGACGGTGTTTCTGCCCGGTCGAAGCGTCATTGATCGCGTCATGATTCGTCTCGATCGGGAACAAGACGGACTTCGCCTATCAGATCAAATTGCGGCCTCCAAGTACACTTTGCAAAACCGCAATTTCGATAGTAGAAATGGATGATGGTGTGATTTATGATTTCTGATGTTGGTAGCTGGCATGTGGCCAAAGGACCGAATCCCGATGGGCATGTTCCTTCGATATATACCAACCTATCTCGCTGCGCATAACTTCGAGCGAGCCATCCTCTCGTCCTCAACTGTTTTATCCCAACTGATCTGAGGCGCGAAATAAAGAATTCTTAGAAAATGGGTTCGCAGGACTACTCTTTCAAGGCCCAATTGGCCGAGCAACACTCCTCGCTTGAGAAAGATCGCAGCAGGTCGTCTGCGGACGTGTACTACAGCGCCAGCAATGGACTCGCCGTGCCAAACCCATACGAGTCGCAACGCGCCGGGGAGAATGGACCTCTTCTGCTCCAAGACTTCCATCTGGTTGACCTGATTTCACATTTTGACCGCGAGCGGATTCCCGAGCGTGTGGTTCACGCCAACGGAAGCGGTGCCCACGGTGTGTTTGAGTGTACAGATCCCATCCCCAACCTGACAATGGCCAACCTCTTTTCTGAAAAGGGGAAGAAGTGCCCCATCACTGTTAGATTCTCTACCGTGGGAGGAGAAACAGGATCCCACGATCTTGCTCGTGACCCGCGTGGCTTTTCTGTCAAGTTCAGGACCGAGGAGGGTAATTGGGACCTCGTCGCTAACAACACGCCCGTCTTCTTCCTCAGAGACCCAGCCAAGTTCCCCCATTTCATTCACACACAGAAGCGGCACCCTTCGACTCATCTTACACACGCTGATGATGCCACCTTGTTTTGGGACTACCTTTCACAGAACCCCGAGTCGATCCACCAGGTCATGATCCTGATGGGTGACCGAGGCATTCCGGATGGTTACCGCTTCATGCACGGATACTCTGGCCATTCTATGAAGCTCGTCAACAAAGACGGCGACTGGGTGTACTGCCAGATCCATCTGAAATCACTGCAGGGCACAAAATTCATCACACAGGAGGATTCTGCCAACTACTCGCCCGACTACTCCCAGAAAGACCTATACGAGGCCATTGAGAGGGGCGACTACCCCAATGGTCCGTTGAGATCCAAACCATGACCCCCCAAGAGGCCGAAGATCTCTGGGAGACCCAAAAGATCAACGTCCTGGACCTCACCCACATCTGGCCACAGAGCCAGTTCCCCCGTCGCAAGATCGGCGAGTTCACACTCAACGAGAACGCAGTCAACTACTTCGCCGAGGTCGAGCAGGTGGCATTCAGCCCGTCCCACCTCGTCCCCGGCATCGAGCCATCCGCAGATCCCGTGCTCCAGTCCCGACTCTTCTCCTACCCGGACACGCACCGCCACCGGCTCGGCGCAAACTACCACCAGCTCCCCGTCAACGCGGCCAGGACCATGTGCCCCTTTGGCAACTTCCAGCGTGACGGGCCCATGGCCTTCTACAACCAGGGCGCCAGGCCAAACTATCTCTCCTCCATCGACCCCATCAGCCTCCCGCCGCGCGCCGTCAACGCGGACAGGACGCACGGACACTTCGCGGGGGAGGTGATGACCTTTTTGACCGAGATCCGGCCCGAGGATTTCAATGCCCCGCGGGCGCTGTGGCGGAACGTGTTTGACCAGCCTGCGCGGGACCGCTTCATCAGCAACACGTCCGGGAAGCTGTCGCTCTGCAAGAAGGAGGAGATCATCAAGCGGCAGATCGCCATCTTCCGCGAGGTGGACCCGGAGATTGCGGAGCGGCTGGAGAAGGAGCTCGGGATCAAGGGGTATGATGGCATTGCCGACCTCCAGTTCAACGGCTCGCATAACGGGATGCCACGGGGATCCGGGGCGAAGCACGTGAATGGGGGCAATATGAACGGGGGCAGTGTGAACAAGACCTCCTTTGGCTCGAGGACTAATGGTGCGCCGCAGAAGGGGACGCATTCTAGGCTGGCAGCCTATGGGAGTGGACATGGAATCGCTACTGCGGCGGATAGGCAGCAGACCAAGTATGGCGTCTAATGTTCAATCATATGTATCTCAAACTGTGTGGCCGAAAATGAAGCCTTCTATTTGTTATTGCTAGAACCTTGACGAGGGAGATGTCATGAGACATTCTATACTAGGTCATGTCACTTACTTACATACGATTCGCATGAGCTGGTACTGCCAAAGGTATAACTCAGCGATCATTAGAATGTTTACATGTAGAATTATAAGGAGGCTTGGCACTCTGCTCAAAACATGCAGCACCCTATACTCCTTAACAAATACATTGCCTCGTCTACTGAGCTAAACTTGGCTCCCAGGCCGAAAGTTGAAAAACTGATAATCAGTTTGGAGGAGAAGGGAAATGAGACAAGTGGTTTGAAACAGATTACTTAATACGATAGTTATGGAGAAACTTAGTGGTATGAAACGAAATGAAGTAATAATATAAGCCGTATTGTCCATAAGGATATATTATTAGTACTTGAAAACCTGACAATACTGGTCGTAGACTTGAAAATAAGCAGCTCAATGTTTGGGCGTCTCGATCTCAATGTCAACCACTTGCGTAGTAGAACTCAGATCGAGGACAGGGATGGCATTCCTTCGAGTGGACCAAACTAGTGAGCATAAAACAGCCTAAACAGCCTTGCCGTTGCCAAAGTAGGCGTTTTTACAGAGTAGTGGAGAGGAAATCAGAGCTGGTTGGACGCCTTACAGGCGCCTTGGAAACAGAGCCACCTGAGTAGTTATTCTAACACTGCCACTGTTCATCTGTGGAAGATATCTTGACAGGCAAGGATGGGCAATCTGGAATGGTTCTCTCGCCATGATCACAATTCTATCATAGATGGTTGAGTGACTGGCTACCTATTCTGAGAAATAGCCTCGTTGTTTTGCAAAACTCCCGCCGCCATGCAGCGCTGGCACGATGTGGCCTGCAGACACCCAGATGTCAGAGTGTCAGCCGATCAAACGCCTCGCTGTCATGCATGCGGCAAAGAGCCACAGATAACTAAGCTGGAAAGAAGCGGAGGCCCAAGCCACTCCTCCCTGTCTATTCCTCCCGATAAATGTTTAGGAGACTTGGATCTTTGGTGGCCGCGCTCGGTGCCGTACGTTCAATCAAGCCTTAAGCTAGACGCAGAGTCAGAGGATGCTCCTCTGGTTATCGATCCACAAGATGATGCAGACGAAAAACCGGCAGAAGACATAATATACAAATCAACTCTCGGATCCGACGAGTTCCGCCTGGTCTGGCTCGACTCTGCCGACACCCTCGACAGTCCTTTACATCTCAACCTTTGCGACTACAAACTGGACGACTGCCCCGAGTATGAACCCGTGTCGTACACTTGGGCCGGAGAAGATGGCGACAGCACGCCTTGCAAGCCTGTTTACTTTGGTCCATTCTGGGACATCATGCTACAGACCAAGAACTGCTGGGAAATGCTTCGGTTCGTACGGCCGTGGTATGGCAACCGCATTGTGTGGGTTGATGCCATCTGTATCAACCAGGCCGATATCCAGGAGCGCAATATCCAAGTGGCAAACATGAGTCGTATTTATTCTTCTGGTAACCGGGTCATCATCTACCTGGGACCAGACATTGCTATGCCGCTATATGGCAAGCACCCACGACGTCGCAGGCTTCATGAGATCGCAGACGGCACCGTCACAGCGAATTTCCCAACTCCCCAGCCAGTTGATAGCTCTAGGCACACATCGTCTATCGAATCTCCCAGGAGTCTAAAAGCACTTCTAGGACGACGGTATTTCTCCCGCATATGGGTCATCCAGGAGCTGCTCTTATCACAGCGCGCCGTAATACGCGTCGGAGACGTTGACTTCTGGACTGACCCTACCACGTCTACCTACTTCTCCATCAACTTGCCGGAGTGGAGTTGGGAGCAGACAGATGCAGCGTGGGTGCAATATGTCTCACAAGGTGCCGCGAGCATAAACACCCTAAGAGACTTACTACTGCTGACCTCTCACTGCCGTGCCACGGATCCTCGTGATCGTCTGTTTGGGCTTCTGAGTATAATGCCTGAGATGCCTCATCCAAGCGCAGAGGGCGATGCCTCACCAGCAGAGGGCACCGGGCTTCACGCGGACTACTCACTCTCGTCCCAACACGTCTTTATAGGTCTCTTTGCCTACTGTCTCTTGAATCTGGGACATATCAATATCCTCTACCATGCGTCGGGTAACCTGTCAAGATGGAAAGCATGCTATCCCACCTGGGCTCCAGACTGGACGTCGCGAGCAACCTGGCGGGCCCTCTTTGACGGACCCGAACTGACCAGCGAGCAGGTGGAGGCGGAAATTCGCGATATAATCCAAGAGGGCGTCCGTGATGGCCAAGGTGCCGAATCGGATTGGTATATAGAACCAAGGAGCAGCGATTTGGGTTCTATAATCGAATGCTGGGGACCGGCCTCAACTCATGCCGCGACGCTGAGGCCCTGGTACAAAGACGCGCACATAGACGCCTCGACGGGGGCACTGTCTATAAATTTGACACATTACATGTCAGTCCCTTGGAGGTTGAAGCGAGTTGGTCGCATCGGTGTATATCAGATTTTCGCAGTGAAAAAGCCGCTGGCTACTGTATTCATCCTCTCGGAACACCGGATCGACAAGATGGTTATGGGAGACGGCAACGACGAGCTGTTTATACTGAGTCAGCCCGGTCACTACACGCTACCGACCTATCTTCTTCTGAGGAGAAACTCCGATTCAGGAGAGAGGGAATCGTACAACTTTCTTTCCGCATGCCCGTTTGTCCAGATTCAGACAGATGTTAGCATTGGCGCAAGGGGCTTCATGCATGTAGCGCTAAAAGACCTACAGTACAGCGTATATGACATGCTCCAAGACCTGCAAGAGAGGCTGGACTATCCGCTGTATGTTCAAAAAGGCCTTGAACTCACTAGCCTTGAGATGAAGGGGCTGTTCGCCGGGATTGAGACGAATCGCCAGATCCTGCCCTTGATCCAGGTGTTGCACTCGGAAAGGTTGAACCCCCCTGGGGACCCGGACGCTTTCGTTGACGCATATCTCGCTTGTCTGTCTCCAGAATACAAAGCATTCGCCAAGGGAAGCTTTCTCCAAATCTCATTTTCAACAAGTCAGGAGGGTGTAGCCGAAATGTTCTTCAAGGAGCGCGGAAAGCTCAATGGGTCTGAGGCTCGTTTTCGATATCGCGTTCGCGATTCTGGAGATGAATGGAGATCGACAATTGTGTCTCAGTCCAAGTATAAGCAAATTACCCACTCCTCGCAACCTCAGCAGTGGATTGACATTTGCTTCAAAATACACGAGGTTCGCCAAGCTTTGACGTTATATTCAAATGTCGATAGAATTCTGGATACCATGGATGTGATTTCAGCTTCGACTGGGCGCACGGGCGAAGACTTATGGTCAATGGTGACTAGTGACCCTGGAGACGAGTGCAAGTTTATTTGTATCTCGCAAGCCCAAACATATATTGATTTAGACACAAAGTTATGTGACTATTTTAGGATGAATGGGAGTACATTCATGGTGAGCATCGAGTAGAGCCTTGCCCCGGATGAAGATGGAAAACGGGTTTGTTTAGTTATGACCTCGAGGAGGTTGCGCTCAGATATCCTGTCCACGCTTACATACCATTCGGAAAGAGTTTCAGCCTGTTGCTGCGCTTACTACTGTTACCAGGCTTATAACGAACGCAAAGAAGCACTGGGAACCTGCCGCCAATCTCGGAAGCACCCAAGCGAGTGACATAAGACATGGCACACCCAGAACCTCTAGCGTTGAATTCAACACAATGTCAAAACAATCAACCTGGTAGTAAACATAACATCAAGCTAAATACTGTAGAATAGCTTATAATTTCCTTGTTATTGTGTTTAGTATTACTAGGGCGGGACGTTAGAAGCTCTCACCTCGGCCTAAGTTCAAGCTGGTTCACTTGCAGCATTGTTTACTTTAGTTCTGATGATGAAAGAAACCAGAATAATTAGGAAAGTCGCGGTTGAGCCAGACTTTCCCACCGGAGGTGATCTGCCGAAAGAGGCAACAGTTGAAGGGGGCGGAGAATTTGTTCCACATACCGAATAACCTTGACACCGGCGGCCGCCATGTCCTGAATGACATCCACTTTGGCTGGGATGGGCATCAAGAATCGCATGATTTGGTAATGCCTTGACATGCTTTACGCGTTCTCCCTTCATAGTCTAGCCAGATAGAAGGGGCCAAAGGGTTCAAGTATCTTCAAAGCCATCGCCGAGCCGTGCTGCTTCCTTCAAGTTGTTACTATGCCGGGGTGAGACCTGGAGTTGCCATTAGCTTTCTGATTTTAAGTTCTTTGTCTCCCGCTGGTTTGCGCCAATAGCTTGGTCTCTGGCCCGGATACTCGGCTTGGGAATAACACAACCATACATATGCCATGCCATCTGAACCTTGTATCGCATGCGAGTTGACCTTCCTAAATTATGGTGCAAACACGGTGTTGCTGACTGTACTTCAGCTTCCAGATTGATAACTTGGGCGGACTCTGGTTGCGGAGGCCACCTGGGCCGCACTGACGCGTGTGGTCTCCAGGTTCAGAGCATCTGTAATCACTTATTAATTCTGAAGTCCGGGAATCAAGGATGTGGCGGGAGTCTTCCAGTCGGTTTGCGGAGCCCCTCGATCAGGTCAATCCCTGTCTGACAAGGCCTCAAAGAAGGTGAGGGCCGGAGGCAATTAAGAGCCCGCTATGGTTAAAACTCTGACATGTAAAAATCATCCTCGTTCCTTGCGTCCATAAGAGGAAGTTATAAGGGGAAACAGGGCTTTGATTGGCCGGGTTGCGCCCTCACCCTGCATGGACGATCCTTTCGCTTTTCTCCGACCCAGGGCAAGGCTTGTCAGATGGGATTTCGACAGCCCTCCGCAGCTTGAGTGCCGGTGGTGGCAATTCCTCATCGGCGCGCGCGGACATGAAACGAAGGCTTAGCTCTGGTAGAGTAAGATTCAGGGTCAGGGTCAGGATGGCTCCGGTCCAAATGAAAGTGCGTATAAAGCAATGGGATCGGCCTAGTCAGAAGATTCTCTCATTCTGTCAATTGGTCGTCAACACATATTCGCGTTTGTGTGATACTAGTTGCAGATATGCGTCTCGATCTGGCACTCTCCCTTGTCGGGGCTGCGGCCACTGTCAATGCGTTCGACCGCGAAAAGTTTCGCCTCAAGTCATCGACCCAGTACACCAAGTCATCTGAGGCTGCTGCCATCTCCCTCAAGCTTGCCAAGCGAGGAGGTGACTATGTTGACGTTGCTACGGAACTAGTCAAAACCGTAGCTCCTGACGCCGAGTTCCGAGTCATCGATGACCACTACGTTGGTACCAACGGCATTGGGCATGTTAACTTCCGCCAGACTGCTCACGGGGTTGATATTGATAATGCCATCTTCAACGTCAATGTAAGTGAATGACCAGGCGTAGCAAATACCGAGACATACAGAGACTAACACGGACATATTACTCTGCGCCTAGATTGATAAGAACGGGAACGTATTCTCTTACGGCAACTCCTTTTTCACGGGCGATTTACCGGCAGAAGCTCCTGCTTCTGCCAATACCTTGCCAATTGATTCCATCAAGGCTTTGAACATCGCCTCTGAGCTCCTTGGTCTGTCCATCGAGACAAACGACGCCGCCCTTGAAGAGAGCTCCGACGTCTTTGTCATCCAAGGCGTATCGGGTGCCAGCCAAAACCCCGAGAGCAAGCTGGTCTACTTGATCAAGCCGGACGGAAACCTCTCACTGTCATGGAAGGTCGACACGGTGACTCAGGAGACCTCCTACTCCTCATATGTCGATGTCAATGCGGCCGAGGTCGTCGGTGTATCTGACCATGTGTCTGCGGCTACATATGAAGTCTAGTAAGTAGATGCCTCGTGTGATGTCCGTGTAGATGTCAAGAAACCTGGCTGACCACCTTGGCAGTCCAATCGGTCTCAACGACCCCTGGGAGGGTGAGCGCAGTATTGTCGAGAACCCTGAGGACAGCACAGCCTCGCCCAATGGCTGGCTCGGCCGCAACAACGGTTACGACGCTACCTTTGGCAACAATGTCAGGGCTGGCGCTCTGCCCGTTGCCGAAGTTCTCTACACCAAGCCCAACGCCAACGGGACCTATGTGTTCGATTACGTCCCTGACGGCGGAGCCCCTGTGGACTTCCGCGACGCTGCTGTGACGCAGGCATTCTACACCACCAACATGCTGCACGACCTATACTATCTCTTCGGCTTCACTCCTGCTGCCGGTAATTTCCAGCTGAGCAATGGCGAGGAAGGCGGCAAGGCAAACGACCCTGTCGACGTCTTGATCCAGCACTATGCCGGCAAGAACAACGGCTTGTTCTCGCAGACGGTTGACGGAAGATCGCCCACGCTCACCATGTATGTCTTTGACAAGACAGACCCTTATAGAGACGGGGCTTTTGATCAGGGATTCCTTATCCACGAGTACACTCACGGACGTATGTTCTCCACCTCTTATTCCTCTGCCTTTTAAGCGCAATTGATATCATGTGCTAACTTTCTTGAACTGCTAGTCTCTGGACGCTTGACCGGCGGAGCAGCCACCTCAGCATGCCTCGAAGACTGGGAAGCCGACGGCATGGCGGAAGGCTGGAGCGACCTCTTCGCCTCCGCCCTGGCCATCAAACCACAAGACACGAGCGCCACGGCGCAGTACGGCTTCGCCGCCTGGCCCCTCAACGTGACCAGCCCGCGCACCGCAAGGCTCGTCATGTACTCGACCAACCGGGACGTCAACAACTGGACCTACTCCAACGCCAACGGTCTCGAGAAGGTCCACCAGGTCGGCACCGTCTGGGCGACCATGCTCTACGACATCCTCTGGAGCCTGATCGACAAGCACGGGAAGAATGACAACCCCCGGCCGGACTTTGTTGACGGGAAGCCAACGGATGGCAAGTTCCTGTGGCTGAAGATTCTCACGGATTCCTTTTCCATGTAAGTTTTTCTTCTTCGCCAGCAAATACAGTGCCTCTCTATTCTTTTCGCCGGTGAGACATCATGGAGCCAGAGTCAACTAACCACTGTTTCCTTTACCTTTAGTCAACCCTGCAACCCAACATTCATCCAGGCCCGTGATGCCATCTTGGACGCCGACCTGGCGCTGACCGGAGGCGAGAACAAGTGTGAGATCTGGAAGGGATTTGCGGGTCGCGGACTGGGCGCGAACGCCGTGTATGACAGATCAAACCGGGTGGACAACTTCGACCTGCCTGATGGTGTGTGCTAAACATTGGCAAGGCAGACTGATGTTTACTGTATCATCTGTTGAGTGAGATGTAATCAATCAGGCAAAAGGCAAGTTAGATATGACTGTATGTAGGAAAATTTGAGCATAATGAGGCATTGCATGATGAGATACATGGAAGGGTCAACCTGCGCCAGAGAATTCGGGGGATTCCGACTTCCCGGGCCCAACTCAATTTTTCACTGCCATCCAGAGTGGGTAGAGTGGTAAGAGTCAGAGGAGAGGGTCGATGCAATATAGCAACCAATGATGAAAAGGGTTCTCGTTGGACAATGAGTCGCCGTTGAGTCATTGGAATTCGACCCTCAGGCAGCAGCCACACCAACATCAGCATGCAACACAGATGTGGCCGGACGAAGCGGCGTGATGGAGCATCTCAGTGGGCAGCGCGTAGGGCTCAATTACAAAACGTGGCCGTGCACGTCAGGCGTATTTATGACGGTACAGCCCGAGCGTAAGCGAAGTGCCGAGCCGGTGGATAATGAGTAACCGTGAGTAACTGAGCTGGAAACGGCAAATTGCTGAGTAGCGTCTCTGCCGGTGCGCGGGACCGTCTGTGAGTGGCCAGACCGTACCAGGATGTGGGCGAGGGCCTGGATTGGCGAATGGCATCACTCATGAGCTCATCGGAGTGTGTGCAAAGGCTTACCCATTTGGAACTTCTACACCATGGACCAACATTCGAGATCCAGACCAATCTCTCTCCATCACGGCAATGCCTCAACAGAAGATGCCCATTATGCGAGCCAGTCTATGTGGGCCAGACCCTACAAATACCTTATCCTGCTCCCCCAGGACCAACCTCGTGCTAGCTCGACCTTCACTCTCACAGCACTCCAGGCATCGACATCCTCAAACAGGCCCTTGAGCCTTGGTTAAACACATCACCATGTCTGCCGCTCGAGTCTGCGCAGCCCTGCAAGCATCGTCTTCGGCTGTCGCAATCTCCTCCATCTTCATCTCTTTCCTCCTCAACTACGAACCAGCTGAGGATAAGGATTCGAAATCGAAAAAGCCCATCGTCCAACCCGTCTCAAATCCCCGCCGCAAGTCAGCCGTTCGCCTCGTTGCCATACTCGCCACTTCTCTGTGCTATGTTTTCGATCTCGCCCACTACCTTTCCCAGAGACATCATCTCAAGCCAAACTCGGACGAGATCGTCACGCCGGCCCTTCTTGCCTTGGCCTGGTTCCTGGCATGCTTTGGGAAGCATCACTTCATCGGCAGGCTACTGACCCTCTCGCTTGCATCTTTCCTCCTTGATCTCCCAGTCGTGATACTCAAGACGATATCGCTTGGAGCAGCCGCACAGCGCACCCCATTGATTGTTGGTTCCCTGAGATTAACTCTAGAGGCGCTCCTCTTCCTCACCTGTCTGCCTTGCTTTGGTGCCTCTTCTCAGCCAATCAAGCTCGACACAGAAGAGACCCGGCCATTTCTATCGGAGGAGACCGAGGATGAGGACGGCCAGCTATCTGGTCCTACTCCTCCTTCATACGGTTCAACAACCTCTGAACGCACCAAGGACGATGATAGCGTTTCTTCGGATCACGACTATGACTCTGACGACGAAGATGACGACGGACACAACTCGCGCTCGACGCAGCTCAGGAAGAACGGCACCTGGGGAGAATACATGTCCAACTTCAAGATCATTCTGCCCTACCTCATCCCGAGAAACGACTACAAGGTCCAGGCTGCCCTCCTGGTCTGCGTTCTGTGCCTCATCGCCTCTCGATTCTTCAACTTCCTCATCCCCCGCTACCTCGCCCTCGTCACCGACAAACTCTTTGCAGGCGAACCCCCATACTACGAAGTCTCCATCGTCTTCATCCTGGAACTCCTCCATGGTTCTTCCGGCGTCGACCTGATCGCCGACCTCGCCAAGATCCCGGTCCAGCAGTTCTCCTACCGGGGCGTCACCAACGCCGCCTTCAACCACGTCATGAGTCAGGCCCTCGACTTCCACTCCGACAGGGACTCGGCCGAGGTCATGAAGGCCATCGAGCAGGGCGAGGCCCTCAACAACATCCTCGAGCGCGCCGCCCTCGACATCCTCCCGACCCTCATCGACATGGGCGTCGCCCTCGTCATCCTCTACGCCAAGTTCGGCTCGACCGCCATGCTCTGCATGATCTTCGCCTTCTACTGCTTCATCACCCTCGAGGTCGTCACCTTCACCTGGAACGTCGAGAACCGCCGCGCGCTCACCAGGTCGCGGCGGGGGGAGGCCCGGATCCAGCACCAGGCCGTCCAGGGGTGGCAGACCGTCTCCGCCTTCAACATGTTCAGCTACGAGAGGTTCCGCTTCGGCGCCGCCGTGGACAGCCATCTGTCGGCCGACAGGCGCTGGAGGATCACCGACGCCTACATCTCCGGCTTGGTCCAGGCCCTGATACCTGTCAACTTCTTCATTCTGTCCGTCGTCGTCATCCACCAGATCGCCCACGGGCGCGCCACGCCGGGCGACTTTGTGTTCCTTATGCAGTACTGGGACTATCTCATCTGGCCCATCAAGTGGCTCGCCCACGAGTACCGCTCCATGATGTCGGACCTCGTCGACGCCGAGCGCCTCCTCGACCTGCTCAGCACGGAACCCACCGTCGTCGACAGGCCGGGCGCCACCGAGCTAGGTAAAGTCGCCGGCCACGTCACCTTCGACAGCGTCGGCTTCAGCTACGACACCAAACGACCCGTCCTCCACGACGTCAACATCGACGCCAAGCCCGGCCAGACCATCGCCTTCGTCGGCGCCACGGGCGCAGGCAAGTCCTCCCTCACCAAGCTCCTCCTGCGCTACTACGACGTAACCTCCGGCAGCATCAAGATCGACGGCCGCGACATCCGCGACGTCACCCAGGGCTCCCTCCGCGACACCATCGGCGTCGTGCCCCAGGACCCCCTACTCTTCAACGCCTCAATCATGGAGAACATCCGGTACGCCCGCCTCTCCGCCACCGACGAGGAGGTCCACGCCGCCTGCCGCGCCGCCTCCATCCACGACAAGATCCTCACCTTCACCAAGGGCTACCGCACCCCCGTCGGCGAGAACGGCGTCAAGCTGTCGGGCGGCGAGGTCCAGCGCGTCGCCATCGCCCGCGCCTTCCTCAAGGGCCCGCCCATCCTCATCCTCGACGAGGCCACCAGCGCCGTCGACACCGAGACCGAGGCCCTCATCCAGGGCGCGCTGAGGGAGCTGAGCGAGCGCCGCACCATGTTCGTCGTCGCCCACCGGCTGTCGACCATCGTCGCCGCCGACCAGATCCTCGTCATGCACGAGGGGACCGTCGTCGAAAGGGGCACGCACCGTGAGCTGCTGGAGAAGCGGGGGAGGTATCACAGCCTGTGGCAGAAGCAGTTTGAGGGGTTGTCGGAAGCTCACCAGTCAGAAGACACGTAGCATGGAATAGACGGGAACTGTTTGTTTTGGTATTTTGATAGCATAGAGCAATTTGATTTTGGTATTACAAGGAGTCAGGTCTCGGATAGCCAGTCCTCCAATGGAAAATTTTCAATTTTGCCCCCAGGATATCAAAGAACTCCACCGGCGTCCGGTGAGTTGAAGAAAGTATCAGTGTGCTTAAACAACATGGTGTGGCGACTTTATGTGTTGAGCGTAGAGAGGAACCAAGCAGTGGATGGATCATTGTCCCGGTCTCAATGGTTTTGGGACTGCTTCCATACACACAACATGCGGGTAGCATCTCTTGAGTACCGGTAAACTGGGGAAAGGGTATTGGTTTCACTGTTCATGCATCTCACTGCTCAATACACCAACCATAAATAGCAGTCCAAATTGCATGCAATACTGTCCCTGCCGAAACAATGTGCCGGTTGTGGAACGTATGTTGCGGATAACGTTGGTCGCAAGGTGCCACGGCACGTAGTCCACTCTAGCAGCAGATATCACGCCCTTACCAGCATACCAGGGGTGGTATCATGATAAAGGCTCGGGGAGCCCGTCCCCAGAGCGGTGCCACATGAAGGCCTGGTTCGATTAGGCCCAACATATGCAAGCAGGCCAGGAGCCAAGATGCGGCAGCATACGAGTTGCCGTAGTACGTATCCCTATAGAGATTAACACTCCGTGTCACTCAGATATCCAGCGACGCCACGTCTTGGCTGGTGAGACCCCCTGAAATGTAGCCAATGCGTATTCTCGTTTCCAAGCCATGGAGAATGCCGTCCCACATGATGGGAATGTCGGTTCTTGACGGTATCAAAGAGAGGGGGGATTATGCACATCACTGATGTCGCATTTTACCTCCTCTCTTGTTCCGCAATTCGGAATTTTTGTTGTGGGACGAGCTCAGCCGACTTCTTCTCCAGCCAGACAAGGGAGAAAGAAAATGACCTGTAACGGCACTAAGAGTCTCGACGAATACCTGCCCCAGCGGACGTGCGTCAGGATTGAAGCACGTTTCCGGGGGAACATTCACTCTTGAGGGGCAGAGACATCAGTACAAGTTGGGAAATACCTGTGCATAGGCGTGACCCTCCAAGTCACATGCACAGCCATGTGGTCGGTTACTCTCTCACCGAAACTCATGAAGGATGGCATCTGTGCTATTCTTACCTACTTGGACAAGGGAAGAAACCCGAGAGACGCCAGCGCTTCCTTGAGTGGAAAGGTGAGTTATGCAATCCAATCTGGCAAGCCCGCAAGTTGTGATCAGCGCAACATGGTGGGTAGCAGGAAGTAAAGATCGCTGGCCCTTCGGGGCTTGCAAGGGCCTCACCACCGGTCGTTTCTGGTGTAGGGAGCAGATCAGAAACAGCGGATTGGACCAGAGGCACCATGTCGTGAAGATCATGATCAACCTAATGGTAAGAGAGGCATTTTTTGCTTCGAGACCTCGAAATCATCACCGCCATACGGTGCACGGCTCACTCATGAAGTTGCGGACACTGTCCACGCACTGACGTGAATCGTTGATTCCAACGCCATCGTCAGCCGCACCCTGGAAGGAAGACATCATTGTTAGTTGGCAAGATGAGAGACAAGAAGACGGGTTTTCTCTGATGTGGATCTGTATCTGTGCTACCCCATGGACTCCGGAGGAGACACTAGTCAGAGGGACGGCGAGGAGAGACAAAGGGAAGGGAGCGACGCGCACCAGCTCAAGCTCCGCTAATGCCTCGGCGGCGAATTTCCGAAGGTTTCCTTCCCATTGCCGTTGCCCGCCCCTCTAGAAGGCAAAGAAGGCGGAAGGAACACCAGTCAAGTGCCATGTGAGTATGTAGGGAGGTGTTGATCTCGTGTTGCCTTCGTCCAAGGAAAACTCATTCTTTGACAGGTTTAGCCTGGTATAGGATTATCGCCGGCGGGTTTCTCATGACTGCCTTACTTTTCACTATGGGTGTCATAGATGATCAATTCCATCCTCAGAAGGGAGTCCAGTGGGGTTGGTTGTTTTGCGACGAGATCCTCCTATCCCCAGGTGATTCCACCTCTGGGATCAGCCTCACTGGGCAGTGGCAACCATGACCGTGATGCCAGCCGACCGGGAATGGAACACGAAATAAGCCTTTATACCTCCGCAGTCGAGGCTGAGCGGGAGTTTGCGAACGGCCATGCGCCCACCTCTCCCGATCTCCCAACATGCACACCCACAGCGTCTGGCTGGTTGCGAAAGACGTATCGGGACGGGAGAGGCGTGTGAAGCCTGGGAGGCGCCGGGCAAGGGTGGCAAGGTATAAGACGGTGTGTAAGCGCTCAGTAGCCTCCTGCACCGTGCAACACGGTGACCGTATTCCTTTCGCTCATCCAACTGCCGATCACCTGGCTCATGACATCAGCCAGTGCAACAAGCACCCAGCGGTACATGAGGAGGCGGCCGATGGGGCGGTTTCGCTGCAGGGGTTCTCGATGGGAGCTGGAAAGGCGACCTCACCTGGGGTCCAGCAAGGACGTCCGTGTGCCCTTTTCGAGTGGGGAAGCATGTCGTGGAAGCCCAATAGAACAGAGCGACTGGTCTGGGAACAATTTCGCTTCTTTTAGACGGTTGGAGAGTAGCGCAGTCGCCAAGCGGCATCGTCATGACGGCTAATCCCTTGAGTAATTTTCCTGCTGCACGTATCCATCTGCTCTCAGAGCCAAGCCGCGTCGGCACAGGCCTCTACCGTCCTCCACGGTCTGGTGTGGCCGGAGATTATTTTCAAAGATGGCGGCAGGTCTCACCAAAAACCTTCATTAAAGACCAATCGACCTATTGGCAAATAGTCATTTGCCGGGAGCATGGGAAATTCCCTCTTTCCTGTCTGCCAGCGCAGCCTAACGTGAGAGTGTGTCATGTGCCGCATCGTGAGTACCCGCAAATGCCCAGCGAGAAGATGCGGTATGTATCTAAAAGAGGATCTGCCATGGTAATCTCTGTAATGCAATGCGATTTCTCAGGCCCCATGGCAGAAAAAGTAGGGGTTCAGCATCGTGGGCTGTGGGGGGGGGCACTACGGATGTAAAGGGCGCAAACCCGGGAGCTACACCCACCTGGGTACACATTACAGACTCCTGGTTCCTACCATTCTCGTCGCATGCCCGATGAAGGGCCTGGAGGGTCATGGTCAAGGAGCAAGGGGGGTGGGAGACACACAATCGCAGAATCAGAGGGGGGAAGGGGAAAAAGTCGCAAAAAGCTGTTGTCTGCCGTCATTGCCAAGCTCTAATGGGGCAAAAGGCCGGTCGAAAAGGGCAACGAGCTGCTGGGAGCAACTCCCCACCACGAGTCTGCTGCTGCAGGGCCCTCACAAGGCCGTCGATATCTCTGAACCTGGCTGGGACCAACCAGTCCTGTTGTTGGAGCGTCCAAGGGTCCGATTCCACGGATACGTGCGTGTCTTTAGGCAGGTGGACAGTGCTAGGGGGTCTTCAGCTGGCGGGGGCGGTTCGTAGGTATCGACGGCCAAGTCCCGTGCCTGTCTCAACAGTCTATCCTATCTTCACCGCAGCATGCCGCCATGAGGATGCCAGATGCCTGGAAAGTGCCAGAGGGACGGGTCTGCCAGTGCTAGTGGCGTGCGCTGCCGTTCGTGTGTCGCACTAGGAGAGCACCAGGCGGCTAAGGTACTTGTCTATCCACACCATACACGCCAAGCGTCAATCACTATTTTGTCCATTCCAACCAATCTGGTGCTTGAGAGCGAGGGTCAGACAGGAGGCAGTCCGTCGTTTGATCAGCGAGCCAGCGTCGGGCACTATTAGGGAAGGTACGCCGATGCTCAACCACGCGCACGGCCGTGCAGTTTCTTCCATAGAGTCAACTAGAAGAAGTGTTCCTCTTGAAGACGCCGTTGCCTCCGTCATGTCAATGTGAGTGCAATAGCAGCAGCTCGTAAATGGCCATGGAACCTCGATAGAGGAAGCCTGGGGTCGGCGAACTGCCCGTTTTGATGGCTAGTTGTCCGAAGTCACGATTCGAACAGGTGCTGAACTATTGGCAGCTCAGGGTGGTCTGAAAGGGGGGGACCCTGTGGGGTGCCAGTCTGCGCACGGAACACCTGAGGGTATAGAGCAGGTCGAATATGAGGATGATGGCGAGAGCAGAGCATCCCTCGTGGGTGCCGCCTGTGTCTGGCCGAAATAGAAAAGAGGGCAATGATTAGCAGAGGACCGGTGAAAAGCCGTCTGCAACCACCAGGCAGGTATTGCGATGTGCGTGTGGCAGGTACCCCCAGCCGCAGCGCAGCGCAGCGCAGTGAGAACAGCGCGTGGTGGGCGGTCGCAGCCTCCTACAGGTACCTACCCGCGAGTACGTACCTCTGCGTGCTCTCACTGTACAGGCTCACTGTGCTGCGGAGCCTATGGCGTCACACCCCGCCGATCCACCAATTTACTGACCCTCCGTGGTCGTCGTGGGTCTTGGCAATCCTCTAGGAGATCTTGCCCCCCCCAATTCGCTGTGCTGACCCAGTGGAGGGTACTTGTGCCAGCCCAGAACGTGGTGGCTCCCGAGGTACCTGCCCTGCCCTGCCTGCTCCCGTCTGCCTTCCCAGCCAGTGCCAGATGCCCCCATCGTGTCTTGGACAGACAGCCAAAGCCCTCGCCGCTCCCACGCTACATCTGTATTTTGGCCTGCACCTCCCAATCTCCCCCCAACATTGGCCCATGACCTCTTCCTTAATGATTCCGTCCGCGATCCAGTCCCTATTTCTCCGGCCTTTCGTCCACTCGAGCATCTTTCTATCCTCTGAATCCTGACATTCGACATCCTGTGTCGAACAACCTCGTCATCACCCTCCACTCCGACCGCCGTCCATAATTTTGGGTGACGACCCAAGCATATTCCTCACCTACTCGGCAGCAATCGATCGAGTTCGAGCACACAGTTTCGGTCCGCAGCGCTAGATCCTACGTTCGCCTCTGCGCTTCATTATTGGATTTGGGTGTTTCTTTTTGGTCTTGTCACGGGCTTTTGGTGACGCATCAGTTCGTTGACAGACCTGCCTACACCGAGTGCAGCTCACGATCCCGTGTCTCCTTTGCCAACCACCGTCCTTACCTCGTTCGACCTCCGAACTCTTCTTCTTGAACCTTGAGTCAAAGCCCATAGTTGACTTGACTAAACAAACTACGCACGACCAACTCCTATCATCCTACACTGCATCACCATCTCTAGCTTCGCCCTTCGGAAACCACATTTTTGCAAAACTTGACCTGTCCTCGTCTCACACAATCACCGCGAGCGATAGGTCAAGTCAAGACATCACATAATTAAATAATAACAACGATTGGCTTCGACTGTTGGCGAACAATAACCCACCATGTCTGACGACAACGACGCTCGATCTATTTCTTCCTCTGGCAATATCTCCCAAGGAGGCAGATCGGATTCCGTGAATTCGGCAATTTCCGACAACGAAATCATGATCCACCAACCCATCCCAACGCGTCCTCGACTCCCCAGCCGGAAAAGCAGCGGACCGTTGGTTGTACCACGCGATAGTTCCGCCGTAGGTCCCATCGAGCCAGATTTCGGTCCAGACGATGTACGAGCCATGAGCCCACGTCGAACGACAGAGGACATTGACCAAATGGGAAAAGAGGCTCGTGAGGAAATGCGAAGGTCAGTACTTGCTTTCTCCTCTACTATAATGCAGAACATTTTCAGAGGAAGCTAACAAAAATCAGGCACGCCAAAGCTTTGCAGGATTCGTTGATAATGATCTTCAATCGCATCGAGGCTGTCAAGGAAGAACACGACAAACTTGATAATAACAACAAATTCTTACAGAAGTATATCGGAGACCTCATGAGCACCAGCAAAATTACAGCAACCGGTGGTCGCGGGAAGAAGTAAAGAACGGGAGGAAACTTGCTACACCAAAGGTAGCATCTTACGACCACGACGATTTATTCTGCCCACCTCATCCCGCGAACACCTTACCGGTCTGATGCGACATAATCCTTCCGGCCCAACAATTGACGGAGTTACCGAACAATGTTTTTTTCAATATATGGCACAGATTAGGCCAACATGATACCCGCGCCCCCGGCGCTTTTGATATTCGCCTTCTTCATACGATCAGCTCATGCAACAGCACGATGATGGCGCCAAACTTTTCGAAATGTACATTACTTTTGTTGCTTTTCGTTCATACACGACCAACACACGGGTTCACGGTGCATCATATGGAGTAGCCCGAGGTCGCTTTTTCTTTTCATCCTTTTTCACTCTTCTTCCGTTTCCAGCCTATTATTTGATTCTACTTTATTTGTTGCAGACACAATTTGTGTCTAGAGAGGCTCAAGCCACGTTGAGGGGTTGTTTGCGAACCATAAAAACGAGGGGGAAACAGAAATCTCCTCGGCATACTACGGGCGTTTTGAATTTTGACGGCAGAAAATGCCGTGCGGCATCCGGACCTTTGGACTTCGAATTAAAAGGCGTCACGGCTTTTGTAGAGGTAATGACACAAGGATATCATAACTTCAGGAGACAGACTTGGGCACAGCACAATTGACTACATTCTACTACTACAACATGACCACGCGTGAATTAGCGAACTGCCTTGAGGTGAAATGCAAGCATGCGATTCGATTCGTACTAACACTGGCGCTGCTACCTAGTTATCAACGAACTCGTCCCAGCTGATCAATAGAACTGCTAGCGGCCGGTATCCAAATCGCTAGCGGCAAGGTTGGGCTCCGGTGAGGCCGTGGAAGATGAACCCGCGTGGCAGAAGCCCAGGGCTACTAGCGCATTGGGAGGCTTTCCTATTTCCTATTCCCTATCAAAGCGTCGATCTCCAAAGTGCAGCCTCATTTCCTACATCGGTGAGTATCGCTGGCCATGGGCATCACCCAATACTACGGCAACCCAGCAGTTTGTGAGCATGATCACAACCCTCTAATGATGATGCGATACTGTCAAACCATCTATCAACTCTATCAAGGGACTGATGCAGAATGATAACATCATGATGACAATGACGCTGGTTTCCGTTGCTTGTCTGCCAGCCACGGATTAGACACGACGGAAACGTCGCTGTGAAACATCACCCAAGACCATGTTGCTGACTCGACATAAAAGTTTGCTCGCCACGATTGAGCACATACATGTCACGTCGTTTCCAAGTATCAACCCGCCACCTGCATTTTCCCGAGTGTCTGGCTGCTCGCTAATGTGTCACCGATGATGTCTTTCCGTTCATGGGTGCTGAACCCCCCTATCCCTTCCAGCGGTCAGGGACCCCCTGTGATTCGAAGACTCTCGAAAGAAGCAGTTCGCCTGCAAGCGGGCACTTGTGTTTTTTGACAGAAAGTGGCACCCATACAAAATGACGGGAGTCGTCTCCAGCCCAACGGACTGTGGCCCTCCTTGTCGGGGATCCTCCCTGCAAATTAATTATCCGGAATTCATTTACTGGAGGATTTGACAGACTTCGAGGTCATGCCCGCTTGGGCTCTAGCACGGCGGGAAGACGTTTCTTAGCTCGTCAACTCGTGCACGCTGCGACCCTCCCAGGCGCCCGATGACCACCTCTCTGGTCCCCGTTGGGTTGCGTTGCGACACACAAACCTGCCGTGTGCATAAGGCGGGCAGGCTGAAGGGTCCTCACCCTCCCCGTCGGTGCTGTCGCGCGGCTGCAGGCTGGTACGCGACACGGTCGACTCCTCAGGGTCTCATCTCATGTCATCTCACGTCGTTTCCTCGCTTGTTAGTGAGGGGACAGCCAGACCGACCCCCACCCACACCACAGCAACGCTAATCTTCGACACACATTTAACTTCCCTGACCAGTTTTCCACCCACCTTCTGTTCATTGGCGGCTCCGGTCTTGTTTTTTTTTCTCTCAAGCTCTTTGGCGGGGTGCGCATATGCGGGTCTCCATCTCTAGTTCCCCCATCCATCTCGTAGCCCGTCTCATCAACTTTAGTGTCGAACTGCCATAGCGTGGTGAGAAGGAAAAGAACACCACGGCCGTCATAGCAAACGCGGCACATCAAAGCCTCCATCGACACAATGTCAAAACAATCAACTAACCTTGCAATAGACCCAATACCAAGCTACCTATATATCTTAGAGTAAACTCTTTCATTTTTTTTATTATCGCGTCTATTATTCTGAACTAGAGAGTGAGGTCTCTACCTTGCGTGAAAGGAGCTATGGTGTTGTCGTTTATCTCAGTCGCTTGCATACACGAACGCGGGAGAGAAAAGCCAAGGACCCGGAAAAGTTAGAATTCTCCCATCCCTGGGCAAAGTGACAAGTTACCACGGATACATGCATGGGTTGGCGGTCCGTTTAAGTTTTCCCCCCCCCTCCACTGTACATGAATGAATGTCTTCATCCGTCCCAACACGCATATACTAGTCTCCTTTCCACTTTACCTCTCTTTTTGGGGGGTTGGTTCTCCTTCTTTGTCTTTTTTAGTCGTCCTGCATCTGGCGCTGTCGCATCGGTGTTTCTTACGAGTGTGTGAGGAGACGCTCTCGGGGTCCCTCCAGCGAGACATGTTTCAGTGTCAGTTGAGAGGGGGGGCGGCTTACATGGTGCACTGTGCATGCAATGCATGTATGTCATGTCGATCATTGGCCAAGAGTGACGTCGGGATTAGCAAAAACGTCAAAGAATGGGTACACTAGGTACAGCGTCGCACTCGTCTTTTGTGTGAATTGTTTTTTTTTTACAAACAGGCCCGTTTGTTCTCTTGGGAAAGTTAGCCCGATACGGTATATCAGAAGTGCAATTAAGATCGTCGCCGTCGTTCGTCATATTCAGCAAATGTGGATTTATGGGGGCTGCAACGGTGTTGGTGACAACCCACCAACGAAAGCTTGTGCTCGTCTGCAGGCGAACCAACACGCAGTTTTGACAGGCAGGGTTCAGGGAGGAAACATATAGTACAGAGAGAGAATAATGTCCCAAGGGGTGTGTATTCTATGGGGGAGACATCTATCCTGCCGTATCGTATCGTACGTATCGTCTCCCTTTCCTCACAGGACCCGCATCCGACCACTCTTCGTGATCCTTTCCTGCTCAAGGACCATCGGTCCACCACCAGGTCCACTCGCGTCCAGGCTCACCGTAACTCCCGTCCTGCCATTGACCACCCTGATTGTCTCTCCGAGGTTCCTCCAGTCAATCTCAAAAGTCTGCGCCGCCGGCTCCAAGGGCCTGCCGTCTTCCTGCGATATCTCCTTGATCTCTACTGTTGGATACGGCAGCCAGCCCTCCCGCTGCGGTATGAGCACGAGTGGGATGTCCGCCTCCGTCTCCGGCGTCGAGGTGCGCATGTCCGGGTCGTAGGGGATGACAAAGTGCCCCTTTCGGCGTCCGCCGATAAGCCATGATTCGCCTGGTGCTATTACTTCGTAGCTAAACTCCTGATCCTCCTTGCGTGTGGAATCCGTGTCCCAGATCCGAGTCCACTTAAGCTGCAGCGTGGCAGAGAGGACCTGGTTGATCGTGACGACTGGAGCTGCCCCATGATCTCCGTCGGTCAGACCAGGGGGTGGGGGCTGCAGGCGGATGTTGGCTGTGTGCAGGACAGAGACAGATGGCATTTCCATCGGGATGAGTATCGACGACGTCTCGGTGACGTTGGTTTTGGGGATCGGCACCGCAGGAGTCGCACGCTGCCATTCCTCGAGCAAGCCAGCAATGGCAGTCGCAGCGCTTTCCTCTGTCCCAGGAAGCTTCCCGAGTCCTCTCAGCTGGCGCTTCCAAGGAATCTCCTTGAGAAACTTGGTCGACACCTCGCCGAGCAAAGCCGCATGTTCCAAGTCGAAAACGTCCAGTTCCGACTTGAGCCGTCCAGCAATTACAGCTCCAATGGGCTTTGCGAACTCCGCGAGTGGGGAATCCTGCTGTTCCAAATACTCCGCAAAGGATCTGCTGACAAGCTCTTGCATCTCGGCGAGGAGTTCGGTGTAGTGCAGCTTGAGGTACATGGTCTTCTCCGAACGCTTGCTAGGCGCGCTTTGCGTCTTTCTCCTGACCTTGTATAGCAGGCTAGCAGGTTGCTTGGCAAAGATTGTGACAGTCTCGGTGGGGGCTATTCCGAAAGAAGACCCGAAGAGCTCTGATTCAATCAGCTGGCTCTTGTAGAGGCGTATAGGGTTCGAGCTAGCCGTGGTAACGCTGAATCTCGAGAATAAAGTGTCATGCTTGAACACATCCTGAACGTTGACACCCACCGCCAGTGATACAGAGATGGAGATGGCCTTTGCAAGGTAGAATGTTTCTCCAGACTTCGTCGTGTAGGTGACTTCGACCTTTGATCCCACCTGTCCGAAATCCTGTTCGATGGTATATGGAAAGCGGAGGGTCAGGGTTGTATCTTTGTCCACTGGGCCTATGAAGAAAAGCCCAGCTTCAGGGGGTTTTGCAAACTCATCAGAAGAGTCAACAAAGGTGGCATCGGTGGTGACAAGCCGAAGGCCTCCAGTTGTAGGCTTGACCCGGATCTCGCAGCTTGCCAAGTCATTCCAGCCCGTGCTGAGTGCGAGATCCAGGGAGTTGGTTCGGTCAAGGGCAGTATGTTTCGTCGCCGTCAAATTGACATCAAGTGAGTTGACACGCTGATAAAGCGTGACTTCTGCCTCAGGGAAAGTCTCGTCTTTAGTAAACACAGGAATGGTGAGGTCGCGGTCGTAATGGAGGGTTAGATGATTCGACGAGAGGTTAAAATGGTCCACCCGATAGGTGCCCGGGACAATAGACTGCAGCTAGTTAGTAACAGAAGCTCATATTTTGGGAGGTGGGTTCGATAGTACTCACATTGGTGTCGACTGTGACTGTATTCATGCCCCGAGTAAGGCGAACACTCTTGTTGCTCGAGAATTTCACCTCTTTAGCTGGACCACCACTTAGGCTCGTCATCCTCAACTCTGCTGCGTTGATATTCATGCCATCCGGCAATAAACAACGCAGCTTTATGGTCAAACTGCAACTATCTCGGTCTTCGTGATATACCGGCGCTCCCACGAGGTCGATCTCAGTCATAAAGCTGGCAAGGGATATCCGCGTGTTTTTGGGCAAGAATTCTGTAAGCTCGGACACGTTACCAGCGACTGATGTGATTAATGAGAGATCAGGATACTCGGCTTTCTTTTGTTCTGAGACCGATGTTGATCTCAATGCCAGCCGCTCTTTTTCACCAGCGCAGGCTTTGGTCAGCAACTTGAAAGCAATTTTTACAAATTCCTGCTTAGACTGAAGCTCTCGAAGAGACTTGGAGTACATGATCAACATGGAAAGTTCCAATGAACTCCATCCGCTCTCGCCGAAAAAGGGCGTGGCCAGGCTGAAGTAATATGTGGCCTGGCGGTATTCTTTGAGGTGAAATTTCAAAACCGCAAGATCGGCCATTTGGGCTTGAGCAGAATAATCTTGACCGGCAGCCGTATAATGCCGCAGTGCCTTGTCAGTGAGAATCTCAAACATCCGGTAAAAGTCATCGACGTTGCCAGTTGCACTGATCAACAGATTGTTGGCAATACCAGCATTGGTCGACAATGAAACTCGCGGATTAGTCTCGGCTTCAGTGCCCTCTGTTGATGAGGTATCATCGTCATCCAGACTTATCTCCTCCAGTTCAGCAGAGTCCAGCTCTTTTACGAGGGGAGCCTCAGGCCACCCGTTGGTCCAGCCACGCTTGGCACCAAGATTCTGGAGGATACTGCGTGACAGGAGGTATAAGTCAGCGCGCTTAGCAGCCAGATCTTCCATCCCCGTCTTAGCAGCCTGTGCTTCCTGGAATCGGCCCAATGCGGAGGTGCCCCCCGCGCCAGGGTTGGGAAACACACCTGGGCTGGGAGGCGGTTGAGGTACAGGGCTGAAAAGTAGCGATGAACTTCTGGCTGGATGTAACATCGTCTTAGGCTCGGGTATGGATGCCTTGGGCTCCGTGGCGCCGGACGGTGCAAGTGTTGAACCTGATGGGGTAAGGGTTGATGGTGGAACAGGGAGAGATGATGATGAGGTCTGTGCTAATACTTGTTCCGCTACCGAGAAAGCGAATGAAGAAACAACATTGTCTATCACCTCAAGCTCCTGGGAGCTGATTTTCTCGGAATCATCGCGGTCCGCCATCACAGCAGCATAAATGTCGTCACGCATGACTTGAGAGACCGCCGGGATAAACTGAAGCGTCCTTCGACATACCTCGGCGAGATGAGTGAAGTTCTCAGTCTCTTCATGCTTGCTAGCAGGCGGAGGGGCGCGTGGTGCCACTCCATGAAGCACCGAATCTTGTTGTTCTTTCAACTTTGCAATCAGCTCTTCTCGCGATGGGAAGGTGTTTCCAAGACGCAGTAATAACGCGATTTGCCGAGCGAAGATGTAGCATTGGAAGTCAAATACAGACACATCGTTAGCTAGGATCATGTCTCGGTATGGCTTCTTCGTGGCGCTGATTGCGATCTCGTCCAGTTGGTCAGCATCGTTAGCCCCTGACTGCATATCAACTGCTTCCTCATCGTCGTCACTATCCGAGATTTCCTTTAGAGCCTTATCAATCACGCTCTTCACCTCCTCGCTGTACTTTAAAAGTGCTCCTCCATGCTGCTCTGGAGCTCCTGTCTCAATCTGTGTTTTAATGATTGAATCCAGCCCCACGCTGAGTTCATCGTAGCCGACTAGAGCATCCTCAACCAACCCCACGGTCTCAAAACCCCTGGCCAGTCCTTCTTTCAAGATGAAGAAGGTGCAGAAATTCCATCCAGGAAGGTTTCGCTGAGAATCTCTTTCTCTGATGCCCTCCTCGTATTTCGTCACTCGTTTATCAAATGAGCTTAAAATTAAATCCTTCATCTTGCTGATGAAATCATTCCAGGCATTCTCTGCATCCTTGTCTGTCTCGACATAGCCGGAAGGCACAGCAGGGACTACCCGGGGGAGAAGGTCGTAGGGAACATCGTTGATTCCAATGCGAATTTGTGTCACTCTGTCCACGAATCCTTTCCCTGATATGTTGAAGTCGGATCGGAACTTCTCCATCAACGGCGTTGAGCCTGGTCTCCATCTGGATGAAGTGCTCTTTGACTCGGCTGAGGCACTGTCTGATTTGCTTTGGTTGCTTCGGGGTTGTGTTGCTGCAGCCGTATTGGGGATGACGACGTGGACAATCAACCACTCGAAGGCGTCGTGGCCCTCGTTGAGGCTAGCGGTGCCGCTGCTGGACTTCTTGGAGCTGGCAGTTGCCGGCGTGGCATGTGTCTTGATCCAGCTTCTGACCTCCCCCCGGACTGTGTTTTTATAGGAATCGTTGTCGTCGCATCGAACCAGGAGAACTTTCAAGTACGGCGTCCGCCGCAATCCAGGAATCTGGTGACGCCTCTGGCCCCCTTGCGTCGTTGCCGCCGAAACTCCAGCGCTCTCGACAGTTTCAATTGAAGCAGCTCTACCGCCAACGTTCTGTGTCTGGAAGCCATCGTCTCGGGCTGTGCTGTCCGACCGTCGCAGCGCAGGAGAGGCCACGCTTGGCTGTGCTTCCTCGCCAGCACGTACTAAGTCGACATGGAGGGCTGGGATAGATCGCAGTGGACCTGCATGCGATTGCCAATGGAGATTTTGGAGCGGAAGGCGAGGTACTAGACCTGGCGCAAGGAGCTTGAAGACATCGTGGGGGTCGTGGTACTCGACTGCATGCGCATGGCGGTCAGCGGGACTTGGAGATGCGACGTAGTGATTGTTTAGTGGATCAGGCGCAGCACATACCAGTTACCTTTGAAGTCGAGTAGTTCTGCTGTTCCATGGCCAACAGCTGAGCTTTACGTGATTTGACACTGCAAAAGGTAAAGCTATCAAGCCCCTTAAGTTGCGTTGTGGGAGCTACGAGCTTCCCCAGGATGCGACCCCAAACAAGTGGCCCGCCCACAATGCCTGCCTACCCTATAGATGGAGTGTACCTGAGTCTAAGGTATTGATAAAGACAAACAACCCTTGCCTGTGGAAAAAAGATTACTTGTTTATTGATTTAATATGGCTTTGGAGAAATTCTCAGTTGATTTATTAGAGGCTTTCATTTTCTTTCGATTACCTGAGTCTCTTTATCACAAGACTGTGTATGAGAATTTTATCACTTACACGTGGGAGCCTTATCGATATCAGCATCGTGAATTTCAATGAGGTGCTTCTGAAAATACGAGCGACATCCAAGCCTCTTGAATTAGCAAGAGAACTCTTAGAAAGAGTACTTCATAGAAGGATAGAACTTGCTAGGTGCGTATTGGTCTTGAATTCGGGATGTCGACCATCGATCATCAGTGCTCAAGCGTCACCAGGTGATCATTAGATGGTCATTCTGATCGTTTTTTAAATACCATTCTCTAAAATGAGGCTTTACATCTAAGCTTCACCATTGTACCTTCTTTCTTCTACACTCCATTAAGTTTCCATAAGCGTACAACGCTATAGAGCCAAGATACCGAATCCGTCTTCTCGGTGTCGAGCGGTGGGCAAGAATGGCGAGGCTATTGGCTGGAAGCTGTGACGCCATACCGAAATGATAGTGGGGTTTGTTGACGAGGGGCGTTTGATAGTTTTGCCCCGCGATGTCAACGTGCAATGCCAAATCCCGTCATCAACGCTCCCACATTCATTTCTGTTTCTATTTCCCTTGTTGATTTACGAACCATCTACTGAGTTGGATAATCAACAGTGCCAACATGTCTACTCTCCAGGCAGTGCGCTACACCCGGGGCAAGCTTGAGGTCCTGGACCAGCTTCGCCTCCCCCATGAATTCCACTACGATCTCGTCTCCAACCGAACAGAGGCATTCGACAGCATTGCCACCATGCGCGTTCGTGGCGCACCTGCAATTGCCATCGTAGCAAGTCTTGGCCTTGCCGTCGAGCTGCACAACCAGGGCCTTGCCACCGAGTCCGTCGCCGACACCGTCACCCAGATCGACGAAGCCCTCGACTACCTCAAGCAGAGCCGCCCTACCGCCGTCGACCTTACAAATGCCATCAACCAGCTCAAGGCGCGGATACGAGCACCCGAGAACGCAGACAAGAAGACTGTCATCGCCGCCTTCATCGAGGAGTCTGAGCGCATCTTCGAGAAGGATCTTCAGACCAACCTCGCCATTGGCGCTTCCGGCACCGAGTGGCTGCGCTCCAACACCGGCGCTTCGACCGACAAGCCTATTTCGGTCCTCACGCATTGCAACACCGGCTCCCTTGCCACATCTGGCCACGGCACGGCCCTCGGTATAATCCGAACTCTGCAGTCAAGTGGCCTTCTCCGCCACGCCTACTGCACCGAGACCAGACCGTACAACCAAGGAAGCAGACTGACGGCCTTTGAGCTCGTGTACGAGGGCATCCCCAGCACGCTCATCACCGACTCGATGGCCGCCTCCCTGTTCCGCACCCAAAAAGACAAGACCAACATCACCGCTGTCATCGTCGGCGCTGACCGCGTAGTCCGCAACGGAGACACCGCCAACAAGATCGGCACCTACCAATTGGCCGTCCTGGCCAAGCACCACGGCATCAAGTTCATCGTGGCGGCCCCCACTACCAGCCTCGACCTCGAGACGGAAACCGGAGACGGCATCAAGATCGAGGAGCGCAAGAAGGAGGAACTCACCCAGATTACCGGCGCCGTCGTCCGCCCGGACGGCACCATTGATGAGAGCTCCAAGGTCAGAGTCGCGACGGCCGACCAGCGAGTCGGCGTCTGGAACCCGGCCTTTGACGTGACGCCCGCCGAGCTCATCGACACTGTCGTGACAGAGAAGGGTGCCGTGGAGAAGGGCCCGGACGGCAAGTTTGACTTTAGCAAGATCCTGCCTGAGCGTTGGGCCAAGGTAGTTGGTGTTTGAAAAGGGGAAAATAGACAGCGAGTTCAGATATGACATGGAAGAAACGTCTTATGATGAGATTGCCTATGACCTAAGGTTGCAAAGATCCTGATGCTTTCCATGACATTCTTAATAACATTTTACCTGTAGATAAAGCGAGAATTTAAAAGAATAGCGATAGACTTAATTGTTTCTTAATGGAGCCACAAGAAAACCGCCCTTACAGCTCCAAGTTGTCGCCATCCTTGGCCTGGAGGGCGTGGAGAATCAACTTTTGGTACCCCTCGACAGCAGACTCCAAATCACCAACCGTCAGGTTCTCGTGCGGGCCATGAGCCACGAAAATCGTTCCAGGGCCATAAAGGTACTTCGTGAAGTCGCCCTTCAGGTGTGGCATATCAGTTCCGTAGTTGACCACAATCTGGTCAAAGCCTGCAAGTGATTCCAAAAGTCAGTTTACTGAGCCACCTTGACACAGCGTATCAAACTTGTTGAGGGAAAAAGGAAACCATTCACTCACCTTCAACCTCACAGTTAGCCTCCACAAACCCGTATCCCTGGGAGCATTCGAAATCAAACGCCTCCGGGTCAACCTCGTTCAGAATCGCCCGCATTCTCTCCTGGACGATATCCCCGCCCTCCTCTTGTGGCCCTAGAGCAACTCGGACCTGGAGTCCAGCAAAGGCTTCTTCAGGAATGACATTATCCGCAACACCGCCCTGGAGACGGCCCACGTTGACCGTCGTGTTGCCGTACACCTTGCTGCTGCCCAGATCTGTGTCTATGATCTTCAGCAGGGCCCTCATCAGTAACTCATTGGCTGATTTTCCCAGCCAGGGATACCCGCTGTGTCCGCCCACCCCGTGAGCCCTGACATCGCATTGCAGCGCGCCCTTGTGGCCGCAAGCCAGCTTGCCCTCGGTGGGCTCACCAAAGATGACGGCATCGAAAGTAACATCGCGGATGTGGAAGTAATCATTCAGCTCGCGCATCCCGTCGCCAGAAACCTCCTCTCCAACGACAAAGGCCAGCATCACATCGCCGTTAGCAACCTTGCCTGCCTTGAGAAGTTCGTCGAGGGCCGTCACCATGGCAGCAACGCTGGCCTTCGCATCAACGCTTCCGCGACCGCTGATCTTTGTCTTCTTGGTCACCTCGCCATCCTCAATGTGGTAGGTATAGAAAGGGGGCACGGTATCAATGTGGCTCGTCAGCAGCACCCTGGGGTTGGGCACGCCGTTCACCTTAGGCCAGGCCACAACGTCGGCACGGGGCTCGTTTTTGGGTGTGTTATCCCTGGGCGGGACGCCGGTGGTCACTGATGCCCACCCCTTGCGAAGGAAATAGTCGTGTACCGAATTGCTAATGGTGTACTCCAAACCAGAGACTGATGAGGTCTCTACCAGCCACTTGTGCAAGCTCAGGAGCTCCTCCCGAAACGCCGGCGCCTCTTCATTGCTCGATGCTGAGGAGGGGATCTCGCCGCAGATTCCACGGGAGGCGCACGCAAGCGCGGAAGCAATTAGAGACACACGCATTGCTATGATTGGGGAGTGTTTGGTTGATTTAACTTTGGAACGATGTGCGAGCCGAGATCGGTCATGAGATGAGGTAAGTGGGGACCTATATGGATCGGGATGGTGACAAAAAAACAAGCGCCGACGACTGGATTGTAGTGATGCATTTTTTGCTTCCCTTTCACAATGGGAAGGGAAAAAAGCACACCATTTCCATTAGTACTCAATTACTTCAGATAACCCATTAGTGGTTAGAACAACCAGTTTGGGATGATTTTTCTAAAGATCTTTCCCCTATTTTTTGTCGTTACCAAAATTGCCTTATTCTGGGCATACCGAAGATGTCGACGCCTTTTTGTCACCTAGCAATGATGCAATTCATAATGCAAGAGGTTGGTTGCCAGGGGCCAGCCACTCGAGGCTTATCATCGGAACGCTGGGGTGTTGCCACCAGCGTTTGGTGCTGCAAGCATCCAGATGTATCGCCGGCATGCTGCAAGTGCTATACAGCAGTATGCCAGCTAGACTCCAAGGTATTCAAGAAAACGAGGCTTAGGACTATGGAATAATTACAGTTAATCCCTGTAGTAACTTTTTGGCATTGACCTCTAGCTTCACACATCGAAGGACTAAAGATCGATAGGCCACACTTTCATGGTTTGTATTCATACTAAAAATCAAAATCAAGGGAACTTTTACCTTTTGTTCTACTGGAGATTTCTTTTCTTCATGAGCCACCCTTCGGACACCTTCGTTATGGTTTAAAAGATGTGCCGCCCCAGCCAAACTCCCCACCTGACAACGTCTTCAACGGTCGGGTCCTCTCCGCCCCCCAAAAATTAGGTAGGCATCACCAATGAGCTATCCCAAGTAAATTTATAGGCTTGCTGGAAGAGGGTACGAAGGGGGCAGCATGCTTCTGTATCAAGCCATTGGATATAACGGCTTTTGACTATCTCATTGAATGACCCTAAGTAGGAGGGCATCTTCTAAAGATTAATCCTGTTGAGTGTTTCTATAGAACGTTTCATCCGATCACTATAAACATGTTGTGTTACGATCTGTACCTCTCCGCAATATAAATAATTCTGACGAAGTATCAGTTAGCCTATGCTGTCGCTTGGGCCCTAGCTCTCAGTACCCTCCTCAACGAAAGGTGCCAACTTGATATATGAACTTGGACGACGTGACTCATCCTCCTTATCAATAGCTTTGATAGATGCTGGCGTATAAGACCGAACTCGTTTAGTACCTTTCTCCGAGTTTCCAGATATATCTCTTAGAGTAATGGACTCAAGACTTGGGATGATTGTTCGCAGCTCGCTGTCTGGGCAATATTGATCTGCCCCTGATATATTTTCCGGGCGGAGAGTTTGCTCCTCTTGACAAAGCTTCGACGAGTTAATAAGGTATGGAAGATCACCATTTGCCGGCATATGAATCTGCTGAGAGACTTTGCGAATATCAGTTTGGAGTTTGCCATGGATCGACTTAGAGGAAGTCGGAGAAGGTTGCAGTTTTTTCTGGAGACAAGCTTCTTTTCGTGATTTAACGGTATTGGACGGCGCATTGCCTGTTTTTGACTGCCACTGGGAAGGAGGTATTGGCTGGTTCAGCAATGAGTTAGTAAATGAGGCTGCCAATCCTGGAGGGATCGCTTTGTCCTGTGAAGCCATTGATGGCGTAGAACCTGGGATGAACAGTGAGACAGTAGAATTTGTTAAAGTGAGAGAAGTTGTAGGTTACCATTTGCACAATATCCAATATTTCCTCCAGGTGTTGCATTGTTGTTCTGGTTTATGGAAGCTGATACTTCCTGAAATTCTGACTGTGAGTCATGGGTTTGATCCGAGCTGCGCGAGAATTGACAGTCTGATCCAGTGATAGGAATATAGTCGGTCATGCTTGTGTCTGTTTTTGATTTCCGTAGCGCCCGACTGGCTTGATCACTAAGAGGCTGGGAGTCTGGGTTTGCCGTGACATTCTCGGCCATGCTGGGCCACTCGAGAGAATATTCATTGTTGATGTATCCTTGAGCCCCGTAGAACATAGCCGAGCTCGGACTTCGGTTATCGAAATTGTTTTCCTGTCTAATCGAGGGGCAGTTGTCTGACATAAGACTCCGAATTAGTGCCAAGTTGCAAGCTAATTGTTCGGAGTTGCTAGGCGCGTTACGGCGAGGTGAATGGGTATGCACTTCCAATGTTTCTGATGCATATGTTGGAACAGACATTGAAGAAGAGAAGTGCGATTGATGCCACATCGAGGAATTTGGCCACGCAATCCCGGAGTTTTCAAGTATATCTGGATCCCAGATTTGTGAGTATAGATAATTCTACTTATCATCGGGTTCACTCATCAGGTCTTACCGAGAGGAGCATGCAGGAATGAGAATGCAACGATATTCTTGACGCGCTCTATCGGCATAGAAGGAGAGTCGCGAGGGAAGCCTTCACTCAGGACAAGCTTGATTCTGCCTATGTTATCTCCAGGGTTCCAGCGATTTTGCTGCAAAAACTCCCGCTGGAATTTCGGGAATGTCAGAGCCTCAAGATCGCCATTTTTGGAGAAATCTGGATGAAAGGATTAGCCCACCAGGATTGTTGTAAAGAAGTGGAATTGTGTATCCTAATCTCACTAAAGATATTGGAAATGGCATGTGGCCAACTAGCTAGGCGCCCAAAGGAAGTTGACCTGGAAGATTGTAAGAGTAAGCCAAAACGAAAACTTCCATGAGAGCTCTCACGCCACGAGCCGGCCATCAATGAATAATCTTGCTTCGAAGATGAGTTTGTCAATATACCTGCTGTAGGATCGAGTGAACTGGCTGACAGGTGGCCGGTCCCAACTATGAATGGAGATATTGAACGGGGTCCCAAATTCTAAACTCGGAACGAAGCAGCAGAGAGTAGGGAGACCAAAACGCCCTTGAGCGTGAGAGAATTCTGGCGATCAGCCATAGTCAGTGTCGTCCATTGAACTAGCCGGCGTTGATGGACATACCAGGATCTGGGACCACATGACAGCATACGTTGAATTCTTTCAGAGGGGCTTTGGAGTCCCTTGGGACAAGAACGATGTCCCAGTCTTCGTACCGCATTGCAAGAGTGTCCGAAGAGTAGGTAGCAGTTGTATTGGGGCCACGACTAGAATTGTGCTGGGTGTACAATGCTTGGAGCTGAATAAACAAATGTGAATAGTTCAGTGCAAGATAAAGAAGAAGAAGAAGAAAAAATAAATTCAGTGTGGTGGCGGAGACGGTTTGTCTGCGAGTTTATTGCCTTGAGGTTGATTGCCCAGTCCTGCCTGCCTCAACTGATTTGCCGCTGATGCGCCCTTCGGAACCTACCTTAGGTATAAACCCAACCTTGAATACTTGAAGCTACCACCCACTGGGTACGTAAATACATACCTACCGCATGCAAGTAAAGGAAGGCACATATATTTATGGGTCAGCTTGCCTTCTATGTCAGTAGATGGTCCTTTCCAACTATTCGACCTACCTACTGACACTGACCAAGGCTGCCCCTACACACTTGAGAGCCTCAGATGTAGCCTTCACCTTTGAAGCATGGCAGCATGTGTCTCGTTTTCAGGGCTCAATCTGTACTTGGACCGAGGGCACTTGGAGAATTTGTAGCACCTGAGGGTAAGGATTAGTTCTGGGTAGCCTTCAGACTGCAGTAAGAAAGCACGGTTCGCGGCCCAGTAGTTAGTGTGGCATCTAACCTTTCAGTAAGACGATCTAACAGTAAAAAACATAAATGGCTTGCTTCATCTTTTAGCAGAATGTTACTGCAGTTGTGGTCACTTGATGCAGAGTTCGTGGTAATAAAAACACATTGAATTCTCTGGTCCTCCTGTAGGTTACAGATTATTTACAAAGGGAAAACGCAATTGAAGTTGTCTGTAGTTTGATTTTTCATGGGTCCTCATCGCCAGCCTTTCGTGCCTAGAAGTGTGTTAGTTAGATAATGACCATAAAGACATACGTCGTTTCTTCCAATACGTACCCTCACGGCGCCGGGCCCACCAAGCTCTCGCTCCAGACCATTCTCGAACTCTCTGGGATATGCGATCCTGTCTGGGTAGTTGAGGTATACCAAGCCGGAAACACCCAGAACGGTGGCAATGAAGGTGCCAATCATGATGAGACCGGGCCCGGTGGTAGTCCAGGTGTAGTCCCAAGGCGAGAAGATACCGAGGATGTCGTTGTCTTCATGAACAGTCTCTCCAAAATTCCTTCGCTCCTGAGGGTCCCACCAGTCGGCATGGGGATCACGGTGCTGGCGCTTGATGGCTGGGGGGTTGATATAGCCTCCGTTCTGTCGCGATGTGACGGTTAGTTTCCACCATGAGCAAATAACTACGACTCCATTCAATTCGACACCCAGAGGCAATTGAACTGACCATGTCAGGATCCTGGGCAGCGCTCAATCGAGTGGGATCAGGGTATTTGGCGTCAAGTGTCTTGCGGTCGGTGTACTCGGATGGGAGGAAGGTACGTCGCTGGACAATTGGTAGTCGTCGGGCGGCGGCCATTCCACTGCGAAGGGCCGAGGCCCGGATAACTCGCTGAGAGAGCATCTGGAGAGGGAAGCGTTACGTTAGAATACACTCTAATGATAGTGCGCTTGATGAAATATCCTGTGACATACCTTGAGCGAATTGACAATACGTGGGACGTCAATTGCTCTGTGGGCGGTTTTCGAGGTGGCTACCAGTCGCGAACTCGAATGAGGTTGACGGAGATGGTCATCTTTTTTCTGCCTGGAATATGAGGTTCAAATATGACTAAGCCGAGATCTACCGAGCACCTATGGCGACTGTACTTGTTACACAGAGCAAGCTACACAAATTGACGTTTAATGATTGTGCGCCCATCCTCGCCAACAAATGGATAATGATGCCTTGATCGAGCATGATGTATGCAAACTTCAGAATGCCGGAATTTCGAACAATGGCCACTCAAGCAACTCATGCTTCGCCATGCTTTGAGCTCTACTACTGGACAGCTCTGAGCTGCTGTCGACTTGATACAGCTCTCATTTGCCTCGCCGACAAGCCTGGGCCACTACAACGTGCCGGAATGACAAGCACTCAGATCAAAAGCTCTTGATATGGACTATCGCCTTGCATCATCAAGCCATATACTACGCGAACACTTGCTCATCCTGTCCATGGGCCAGCTGAAGAAGCAACCTCTGACCAGAGCTGTTGATAACGTTCATGCTAGCGGCACAACACCGGGTTGGATGGCTTAGTCATCCGCCTCGATTCCCCGAAAGTCGAAAGTGGGACCTGCCCCTAGGCAGTCGCGTGTATTGGAGCAGGGCTGCCAGTGAGTGCAAGCTGTTGGTTGGGCAGTGCTATCCAATTTTTTCTCGCCGGGTGCTATAACCCATCGCTAGTCACAGGGGGGGGCGCGTGATTCCGCATCTCGAAACCCTCCAGCTCTAAAAGTTTTGCTGACGACACTATATTTGCACATCAAAACCATCATAGCCCACCCCATGGGCCTCTGGTCATGTGCAAATCTTGTGAGGACATCCGCCCAACCGAGACGCTTCCGTAGACGTTAGTTTTATGTCGCCAAATGACAGCCTCGGGGAGACCAAGCCATCTGCGCCCTTAGGCTCCCAGTTCCTATTATGTCCAAGCCCGCGTCCACCGATGGTGTGCTGCCCGATGCACCTCCAAGCGGCACCAACGACTCCAATGACGAGACATTCCTGACGCGAGAAGGTCAAGATGTGATCAATGATCATCCTTTAAGCCATGTCACGGGCAACAAGTTACCGAATGGACGCGTCGAAGTCAGTGACGTCCCCATGGAACCCTCCACCGACGCCCCAGCAGCCCCAGCAACCAACGGCCACACGACTGACGGCGAGAACGTCGTCATTAACGGCCACGACTCAGTTGACAAAACGCACGATGATGACGAGCGACCAGCAAAGCGAAGACGCACGCGTAATGCGACCCCCCCGCCATCTGCTTCCAAATTCAAGCCGATATCTCCTCCGTGGAAGCGATTCGAAGCCGAAGGACCGACATCCTACACGGACAATGGTCGTCGAAGATCAGGCCGAACGAACGCAATACCCATCGAACACCAACCCTCTGGGAAGAAGCGACTGACAAGGGCCGCCATCAATGGAGCTCAAAGCACACCGTCCGCCAAGATCCCACCTGTCCCTTCTCCACGATCCGGCCGTACCTCCCACGTCGCATCGAAGCCCGCCTCGATTTCGAAGCCGAGCCCAGTGACGAAATCATCGAATACAAGGTCCTCATCAGGGCTAACACCCAAAGCCAACTTGAAGAAGTCGGATGCAGAGCCGAAACCATCCCTGCGAGCACCACGTCGCCACACGCCCCCTCCAGCTACCCAACCTTCTCGGCATTCTAGGCGTTCGCTTAGGCTGTCTCGTCAGGATGACGAGTTTGATGACATTGAGAACACGACACCACTCCGCAGTACTCGGCACTCAACACGTGGTGAGCGCCCTGGCCCTTCACCCCGAATCAAGTTGCGTGTTACTAGATCGGATTTCATCCCCTTGGTGCACCCTGACCAGGTACGCAAGCGACCGAAGATCGGTACAAGTTTTGAAGACTTCTGGAATCGCGCTGGTGGTGTTCCAGTGGAGGAGGGGGGCCTTCAAGTTCTCGAAGATGGCACTCCGTACTCGGACGAAGCCGCCCTCAAGGATGCCCGCCTCATCATGCGAATTGAGGACGAGGCGGAGCCCGGGGGGTTGCTCTCTGAAGGCCGCTGCTCTCTTTTCGCTCCAGAAGGTGAGGAAGAACCGCCGCGCCAATGGGCCCGGCAAGACCACATGGTCCGGCAAATGGCCTACTTCCGACGACTCATGCTTGACGAACAACGACGCCACCGTGCTACCGCGAAGAAACTGGCCGAGGCATGCCGTGATGAATGGCTCCGACGACAGCCGAAATCAGCAGAGGAGATTGAGCGTGAAGCCAAAGACTATTGGATCGGCAGATACAGACTTGTTGCACGAACACTCTTTGGGACATGGGACAACGTTCGAGTCGAGGTCAATAGAAGGCGTTTGGAACAGTGGGAGGCCGAGGAGCAGCGCCGCGTGAAAGCTGCTTTAAATGAAGCGGTCAATCTATCTGAACAAAAGTTACAAGCCAGACAGGCCGGGTTAGACTCGGAGATGATCTCAGATGAGGATGATATGTCCGATATGACGGATGATCTGGGTCTTACGTCTGATGTTGATGGAGGGGTAGAAATCGGCTCTGAGAGCAGCGACGATGAAGCTGACGATGAAAACAGCGACAACATGTCATCCTCAGGGGATGAGGAGGATGACGATGGTGGTGAAGACGTCGCCGATGAGGGGCTGACCCAAGAACAACTTCAGGCCAAATATGCCAATATTCCGAATATCAAGCATGATACCGAGCAACCTGCGGATGCAGCTCAGGCCCCCGTTGTGAATGGGCTGGATGATCACTCTGGCCCAGCTGACGACACAACTGATGAATCCGTGGACATGGACGATGATATGGGTACTACGGATAGTGATGAATCTGACTCTGCCGAGGATGATTCAGAAGAGAGTGATGAGGACGGTTCAGCTGATGAGGCTGGTGGTCTACTTGGCCTTTTCTTCGGCAAGTCTGAGTTGAAGACTTTGAAGGGCGAGGCAGAAAGCAAGATACCTACATCGGACGCTGTATCTGAGGCACAGGGCCACGAGACCAAAAGCGATACTGTTCCTACAAGCCTCCATAAGGGAGAAACCGGTGAGAAGATGAATGGGATTGAGGAAGAAACGAATGGCCAATTATCAAATCCTGCAGCTGCTGTCGCGGATGTCGAAGAAAAGAACCAAGGAGAGGGACAAGCAGAAGTGAACGGCCTTCATAAAACCAAGTCTCCGCAGACTTGTTCCGACCCCGAAAGGAACGCCACCGAACTTTTATCAGGCTCGCCAAAGCCTTCGGCAAGCTCACCTATGGAAGTTGATCATACCTCGGTTTCAGAGCCTGCTAGCAAATTTCAAGACACCGGTCCTTCTGTCACAAATGGGACACATGTATCCGAACCCGACGATATAGTTATGGAAGATACCGAAAACAGAGCCGAGGTTCAGCAGGATGACGCCCAGCCAGCCACTCCCCAAGAGCATGACGGAGCCAATCTTGCAATAGAGAAAGTCAATAGCTCGAATGACCTCGAACAAAACGGTGCCGAAGATACGAATGGAGTGGGGGAATCTGAACAAGTCGATCGAGGCAACGCTGAGTCGCCGGAGACAACAGTCGTGGAAACAGAATCCTCACCTCCGAAGTCAGATCACAAGACTGAAGTTCCTTTCCTCTTGCGCGGGACTTTGCGAGAATATCAACATCACGGGCTTGATTGGCTTGCTGGCCTCTATGCTAACAATACGAATGGTATTCTTGCAGATGAAATGGGCCTCGGTAAGACGATCCAAACAATTGCACTTCTTGCTCATTTGGCTTGCACTCACCACGTGTGGGGCCCACATTTGGTCATTGTTCCGACAAGTGTGATGCTGAACTGGGAGATGGAATTCAAAAAGTGGTGCCCGGGCTTCAAGATTCTTGCATACTACGGCACCCAGGATGAACGAAAGCGAAAGCGGCAAGGCTGGAACAATGACGACGTCTGGAATGTCTGCATTACCTCGTATCAGCTTGTTCTACAAGATCAACAAGTGTTCAAGAGACGAAGGTGGCATTATATGATCTTGGACGAGGCGCACAACATCAAGAATTTCAAATCTCAACGCTGGCAGACACTGCTCGGGTTTAATACCCACTCTCGGCTTCTTCTGACCGGCACACCGTTGCAGAACAATCTTACAGAATTGTGGTCTCTGCTTTTCTTTTTGATGCCTGCAGAGAATGGTGCCGGTGGATTTGCAGATCTACATGAGTTCCATGATTGGTTCCATAAGCCTGAGTCTCAAATCCTTGAAAGTGGGCGAGAACAGATGGATGATGAAGCCAAAGCGATTATCTCCAAGCTTCACAAAGTGCTTCGTCCATATCTTCTGCGGCGTCTCAAGGCTGATGTTGAGAAGCAAATGCCTGGTAAATATGAGCATGTTGAGTTTTGCCGACTATCAAAACGTCAACGTGAGCTCTATGACGGCTTCTTGTCAAGGGCGGATACCAAAGACACATTGGCTTCGGGCAACTACATGTCAATCATCAACTGTTTGATGCAGCTCCGAAAAGTCTGCAACCATCCTGACTTGTTCATTGATCGCCCCATCATGACTTCCTTCCGTATGGCCAAGTCAGTCCCGGCGGACTATTCCTTTACCGAGAAGACGGTAAAGCGATGTCTTTTCCCTGAACAGTTGATGAGTACTGTCAGCCTCAACTTTCTGAACATGATCCCCACCCAGTATGAGTCGCTCTCCACCGTTGCTACTGAGCGTATCTGGCAGCTTAGTGGTAGCAACCGGACACTGACGGAACTCCGAGAGACTCAAAAGAGCAGAGCCCAAAAGGCTTACGTCACTCTTGACCCTTCGACTGTGAACTCAAATATTGCGTATCTGGAAAGCGCCGGTCGATGGGGCCGTTTTGATGAGTTGCAGCATGTCGTGTACTTGAATGCGCTCCGCCGGCAACAAAAACCTATCTACGGTAGGAATGTGATCGATCTTCTTACTATTGGCGTTGACCAGCGCCCTTGCAAGCCAAAGCCCAAGGTTCCCAAGAACATCATGGCATGGTTTGAAGAGGACTCATCCTTCATCCGATCCATGGTGCCGTCGGTGGATCAGCGAGCGGACGCGTTCAGGACTACAATCGAGAAATTCTCCTGCGTCACACCGGCTGTCGTTACTCGAGACTTGGATTCAATCGTCCTTGGAGAAAAAGGCGTAAACGCGTTCACAGATGAAGATTTACGGCTTTCTGCCCCTGTGCATTGGACCCCATGGATGCCGAAGGAGCCTCCCCCTGATCCCTGGCACGAGTCCCGGATGCGCTCAAGCATTCAGTTTCCCGATAAGCGACTTCTCCAATATGACTGCGGAAAGCTGCAAGTATTGGATGGTTTGCTTCGTAAGCTTCAGGCGGGCGGGCATCGTGCTTTAATATTCACTCAAATGACTAAAGTTCTGGATATCCTGGAACGGTTCCTCAACATCCATGGGCATAAGTATCTACGCTTAGACGGTGCGACAAAGGTTGAGCAACGACAAATCCTAACGGATCGTTTTAACCACGATCCCCGCATCCTGTGTTTCATCCTGTCAACGCGATCAGGTGGTCTTGGCATCAATTTGACAGGCGCTGACACCGTCATCTTTTATGACCAGGATTGGAATCCAGCAATGGACAAGCAGTGCCAGGATCGATGCCACCGTATTGGTCAGACAAGAGATGTCCACATTTACAGACTGGTTAGCGAGCACACGATTGAGGCCAACATTCTCCGAAAAGCCTCCCAGAAGCAGATGCTCGATGACGTTGTCATCCAAGAGGGTGAATTCACCACAGACACATTCAACAAGGTGTCGGTTGGCGATGTCCTCAAAGAAAAGGTTGATTTCACCAGTGAAGGCGTCTCAGCTGCCGATGCAGCCTTGGATCGTGTTCTAGGCACTGGCCCTGATGACAGCAGCAGTCGTCGAACAGTGGGACGAGCTTTGGAGCAGGCAGAAGACAAAGAGGATGTGACAGCCGCCCGAGCGGCCGAGAAGGAAATCCTCGCAGACGATGCAGACTTTACGGAGAAGCCCAGCAACACAGCGTCAGGTGCATCAACAACGCGGCAAGGAACACCAGCTACCAAATCAGTCCTGGACGGCGGAGTGCTGGATGAGCCTGATATTGTACTGGAGGAGTTGGAATACAATGCTTGGGGCGCCCAAATCAAAACGATCGACCAGTATATGCTTAACACCATGGCCGAGTATCTGAAGGACACCAAACTTGAGCTGCCCAAGGATAAGAAGAAGAGCAAGAAGAAGGGCAAGGACACCAGGAAACGATGAGTAGGGGGTTGTACAGCGGGGGAACATTCCTCAGCGAGGGTAACGAAAGCTCGCTCATGTCGAGCAAGCATATTGTACTACAAAAATTGATGCGACTTATCACCACTGGCGGCAAAAAAGGGAGACATTGGGAAAATACTTGTTTTTTACTATGAAAAAAATAATAGAGCGTCTTGCATTGGGTTACCGCGGCAGGAGTTGATTTTGGAGGTGGGCATTTTGGCTAACCCCTGGTCTGGTTGATGGTGTTGATGGAGAAGGGAAAGGGGGTTTAACGAGAACCGCTGATTGGGCTGCTTGCGATTTAGGTGGCAGCTCAGGTGTATTAGAACCATTCATATTGGGGAACAAACTCGCCCAGAATTGTATAACTTGGTTTTTCTTTTGAAACACGTTTTCCTTGGTCTGATGAGGTCAGCCTCGATCCGATGTGCTAGCCAAGTAGGTATGATGTTCGATGATCGCCCTCGTATGCACCCCCTCTTCCGAAGGGCTAATTTCGAATATGTTTCAGAGGCTGAACTTTAGGGGTTTGGGGGCCACTGGCGGGATTACATGGGGTGAGATTTGCGTCGCTGCACGAAGGCATGTTGGCTGGGAGCAGCTTCGAGGCGCTCTCATATTGCGTCACCCCACCTCCATAGCTTGGACTGTACAATGCACTTTGATGTATTGGGCGGCCGATCAAGAGATGGCTGCTTACCCTCTGGGCCGTGTAGGCATACTCCTCTACGTGTTTGCTGCGTGGCAAGATGACTAGTCGTTAAGTGGCTGGACGCTTGTAACCAGTCACTGATCAAGATCAGCCTGTTCGATTCGTACGGGCAAGTACCTTACTTACATCATGCTGTACCGAGGGGTAGACCTCCTTCCTATACGCGAACTTGCCACAGTTATCAACCTTGCCTACAGGCCACGTTCAGCTCTACCAACTGTTGAGAAATGTGCCCGATGCGCAGCACAAGACCAGACTAAATACACAGAGGTTCGTATCAAGATGGCTACGCAGGCAGTGTCAATGGTAGGCAATAATTAGAATTCAGGTGCTGCATGACAAGGTAGGTAGTAATTTGGGACATGCATCAGTAGGTGTAGGTACCTACCTAAATTACAGAGTTGAGTGGTCGAAATTCAGCTGGGGCAGATGCACATACAACTTGCCGGCGGCCAACGATACCAACATTCATAGAGCAAAAGCAAAAAAAAAACAATGAGAAGTGAATTTGAATTTGGTTGGTGGCTGGGCTGAGGCATACATGCCTGCCAACCCAACGGCCTCTAACCTGATAGGACGGATACAAGTGTCAATGGATGTACAAACGCACCAGGCAGGTACCTTGGGTAGCACTCAGGCCGGCAGCATGAAGATCACATTAGGCAGTTACATCACGGTGTGGTGTTGGTGGCGGTGCACACACGACACGGGAGGTTCTGTCTGTGACACCTACCAGAATCATCGAATCCAATGCCTCCATCGAGGGCCGCTCGGGTCGGTGCGAGCTCGCACAGGCTGCACGTCCGTAGGAGGCATGTACTTCGGGCTGATGCAGCAGCTGCTGGTGGCACGGGCCCGTAACGCCTGCTTGGAAGGGGCTAGGCAGCGCCCCAAGAGCCCCTACTGCTAGTGGCCTGTGCCTGTGGCTACACCTTTTTGGCGGTCCCGCCGGGCGGCCTGTCTCCGCCAATCCACCGACGACTCCTTGTTTCGTGCTAAAAAGGAGCCAACCAGCCCGTCGTGCAATTACGTAGCAGCAGGTCGGACGATTCAACGGGGGGCTCCAAGCAGCAAGCAGTCAAACCATCGTTCATTCTTTATTGTAGCCTGTCTTCGGCAGTCTCGTCCAACCAGTCGCCGTCCGACCACACACCCCAGCTTTCCTATTCTACCTGCAGGCGAAACCAACTATCTATCTCATCACCACGGCGAAATCACCACACGGGGGGGCCTCCGCTGTTCGCCAGCAATTTTGGCCTTCCTTGACCGGGGCATCCTCTGCAAGGGCTAATCTTAATTCCTTTTCCCTCCCGTTCCGTTTTTCTTCTTGACTGCCAGCATTGCCAACACGCCATCGCGAACCCGAGTCTCCAACTACTAGCTCGTTTTTGCCTTCTGATCATTAGTCGAACACACCACGACCGCCCTATCGCATCGTAGCGAATGTACGCACCTCGAAACCGAACCACCTCACGATACTGGGGGCGAAACCACGAGCAGCCCGTCAGCTCTTCACGCGCACGGATATCGTCGAGCCCCATACTCTAATACATTCCCTCGTTGCCCTAATTCGTCGCGAAACCTGGGTCGTATAGTGGTTTAGACGGGGACGCGCCTCGTGCTCGTGGAGGGAGATGCAAACGGCAAGGGGAAAGAGTGATCCGCAGGGAAGGAAGGCCAAGGTGCGCTCTATTCATCTAGCTCCAACGATTGCCGGAGCATTGGCTAACGGCTTCTCTCTCTTCAGCTTGCGAACTCGTACCAGGCGCTTCTGGAGTATGTCTCACCGCGACCGAGGGTTCTCCTGGAACACATGGATCTCTCTCTCTCTCCCCGCAGCCTACGTGCAGCTTGCTAACATGTCACAGCGAATTCGCTCAGCCGGAACTGAAATCTGTTGGCAACTATGCTCTTGGTCGCCTAGTAGGGAAAGGATCTTTTGGCAGGGTCTACTTGGCAAACCATAAGCTCACCAATGGCTCCAAGGTACGCAGGGGGGACAAATCGGGATGCTATCCGTTGAGTTTCGTTAACACGCATGTTCTCAGGTTGTGCTCAAGTCGGCCAACAAAGGCGACTCGAACCTCGCGCGCGAGATTCACCACCACCGACAGTTTGTCCACCCCCATATCGCGCGGCTGTACGAGGTTATTGTGACCGAGAGTATGGTTTGGTTGGTCCTGGAGTATTGCGCCGGTACGTCCCTTCTTCCAATCCGGCCATCTGGGCCAATACACGTGTCGTGTCTCTGGCCTAACTCGACTGATGTATGTAGGCGACGAACTATACAACTACCTCTTGGAGCACGGGCCCCTGCCTGTTCCCAAGGTCCAGAAGATCTTTGCCCAGCTCGTGGGTGCCGTCACCTACGTCCACAAGCAGTCGTGCGTCCACCGAGACCTAAAACTGGAGAACATCCTCTTCGACACGCATGAAAATGTGAAGCTGGTAGACTTTGGTTTCACCAGGGAGTACGAGGGGAGGACGAACCATCTGCAAACCTTCTGCGGTACGATATGCTACTCGGCACCCGAGATGCTGAAAGGGGAGAAATATGCGGGCGAAAAGGTCGATGTATGGAGTCTGGGTGTGATCCTATATGCATTGCTCTGCGGCGAGCTGCCTTTCGATGATGACGACGATAACGTGACTCGAACCAGAATCCTGACGGAGGAACCCAAGTACCCTGACCACCTCTCTCCTGATGCAGTATCTCTTTTGAAGGCTCTGCTGTCTAAACGGCCGCTTCCACGGCCGTCGCTTCCTGACATCCTTGCGCATCCCTTCATTGCTGAACATGCACCTGCACAGCAAGCGATCCTTGCCGTCAAGTCACCCGCGCCATTCTCGACTGCGCTAGAAAACGAGTGTCTGCACCGAATGCGAGCAGCCGGAGTAGATACCGACGCGGTGATAGAGAGCGTGATGGCGGAAAAGTGCGATGCCCTCGCTGGATGGTGGACACTACTGCTGGAGAAAGAGACGCGGAAAATGCAGAGAAGAGAGAGGAAGCGCAAAGAGCGAGAAGCCGAGACCAAGAGCATGCGCCGAATTTCAGCTGCGTCAAGTCGGCTGGAGCGCTTGGCCCCCATGCTTCAAGATGTGGATGAAGATGGGGGCCTGTCACTGACCAGGACAGGAGAGGGTTCTGCATCCCGCAGCCGAGGTAGGAGTAAGCGTAGGAGCGCACAGTACTACAATGAGCTGCATCTTAAGGAGATCCCACCGCTTCCCGATAGCGGTGGGCGGTTCGAACCCCAGAGTCCAGATGAGATTCCTCCAACACCGATCGACAAAGATTCGATCCGGTCAGTTTCGACTTCGCGCCAACGAAGACCGCCCCCGCCACCGAAGGAAGGGGTGATCCGGAGTGCTAGATCCCGTGGATCGACCCTCCACCTTGTGACGACGTCAGATGCCTTGGGTGGTGGGAGCAGTACGACGGGATCAGATGCCAAGCACGGCGAGTCGAAGGGAAGAAGAAAGCCAGCTCAGGTCATCGTCGCCCACTGGAAGAACTGGACACATTGGATCTTCGAAAATACAACCAAGAGATCCAAGAGGCTCAATGAGAAGAACACAAGCCATAGCACCCCGAACTTGGGCAGTGGGAATGCCAAGGAAACCAAGGACGTAACTCCAAGACCTCAGACGAGCAAGTATCCTGGCTCTGATTCCTTGAGAGGAATGACTTCCGCCCCCCTCCCGAAGGGAGTGATTGCTAATGGACACGCCAAAGGGGGGGCGAGTGTGGCTATTCACCCATCTGCTCTTAGAAATGGCAAGCCTGGGCATTCCCTCACCTCTTCGAGACTGCAGCAGCACCAGCCGCAACCCCCAGGACGGATACGCACCCCTTCCAATTCCTACAAGCGACAATCATTGTCGCCATCACCGATGACGCCGCGCTCTGGGATGCGCCGGTCGTCAGCTGGGCTCAGGGGACGAAAGTCGACCTCATCATCTGTATCCTCTGTACGGTCTCTGCATCATCATCGCCACTCGCACTCCAAGGCATCCTCGACAAGCTCCGCTGCATCAATAACGGTAGCCAAAACACCCCATCGTGGCCAATCCCCTCACCATTCAGTCAAGGTGTTGCCGGCAACACCAACATCAACCGCTTTCCCTTCCAATATTCGACTTGTCCGAGCCGCACCTGCCCCCTTGAGCCTGTATAACGAGGGTATGCCATCTCACAATGACTCCCTGGGGTCACCTAATCCATTCACAGCTGGTGTAATGTTCGCGAAGCGAAAGAAGAACCTGTTCAAAGGCCCATCGCTCAATTTCGGTGGTAGTCCTTCTGGTGGCCATCGCAACCTAGGTTCGGCAGGCCATTCTAGGAGCGGTAGCGGGTCAGCGCTTGGTCGTCGGTCTGGAGAGATCACTATCGAGGAAGAGGATGAAGATCCTTCGGAAAATGCAGAGGTCATCGAGGAGGTTGAGTCCTTCTCACCGATCGTCAGTGGACCTGGCGAAATCATCACTGAGCAGATCCTCGAGGATGATGAGCCCACGCCAACTAAAGATACCGCGCTTTCGCTGGCGAAAAATGGTATCCACGCAGCTGACCAGGCCCATGGATCCGAAGAAACAAAGATATCCCTTGATTCCCCCATCCGACTGAAGTGATGGGCTCAGCAATTTTTTGAAATGACCTTTTATGACTCTTATCAAAGCAAAAGAAGCACAGCCGAGAAGTAGCTCTTTTACTGTTTGCCTCAACGGACCATATTCCCTCATATCCCCACGTCCTCCATTTCATCTCCCCTTCGACTCCCTACTTTTGGCCATGTTCACTCAACAATTCTTCATGTAAAACGCCACTTGTGTTCACCCATTGTCAAGTTAGGCCCGCTTCGCCTTTCCCCTGACTTAAACTCGGCTCCCCGCATCCATCTTCGATTCTTGTTAACCTTTACCTTATCAATTTCTTGCGTTTACGTTGATACACATACAGTGTCTATTGATACCAGTGGTGGAATGGAGGACAGGGTTGATTTGCTTCAGTGGAGTTTTATACCGTAGATCGATTTTGCCAGGCTAGCATGCCGTCCAACTTCTTCTCTTCACCTATTATTCAGACATGGCCCTTCTATTCATTAATGTAAAGAAAATTAGGCTCGTAAGCCTTGAGATAAATCAATCCGCTCGCTATGAGTGACTTCACTTGAAATTTATAGTGTCCGTACAGTCTAGTTTCCACCATAGGATCCGTTGATCTCATGTGAAGTCGTAGATACCCCCGCCAGCCATGCTCGCTTGGGATGCCAAAAAAGAAGGTATCTCATCAAAAAAAAAAAAAATTAAAAAAAAATTACATATCGGCTTCGACGACTAGCCTGATCACAGAAAATGAGAACGCAAATATACCCATTGGCCATTTGATCGCCATGTTCCCTCTACGTCAAAGAAATGTACCGGATACAAGATGAACCAACCCGCTAAAATATTCGTGTCAAAAGAAAAAGTCGTCATTCTTCAGCTTCAGTCTGAGAGTCCCAACCTCCTCCTCGTACACCACTCACCAACCCTCCTCGCGGGTCTCAGTCGTCCTTGTCCTCGCCGCTCCTCTTCCGCAGCTTGTGGACGAGGGCCTGCCTCTCCTCGCGCAGGGTGAGCCACACCCAGAACCAGGAGATCATCTCGAGGAAGAGGAAGGTGAAGGCGACCCTGTTCTTGAGGGTGTCGCCGCCCCAGGTGCCCGGTGTGTAGGAGGGGTTGTGGGCGCTCGGGTGGGCGAAGCGGCCGCGCGGGTTGACGGAGGCGAAGAAGGGGGAGGAGGGGCCCGTGAGGAAGGCGTAGAAGAGGACGATCATGAAGAAGAGGGAGCGGATGGGAGCTGGGAATTGTCAGTGGCTGGTATTTGAGTCGGGCGATGTGGCTTAGTGGGGGGAGGGGGAGGCGTCTTTCTTACCTTGGGCGCCCCAGTAGTAGATGAGGGTGATTTCCTCGGGCATGGAGAGGGAGACGAGGTCGCTGATGCCGACGAGGGCGAGTACGACGGAGAGGAGTCCGAGGGGGTGGCTTTGGGATTCGAACCCGCGGCTGTTGGGCTAGAGGGGGAAGCAATGTTAGCGAGGGTGGGATCTGAAAGATGAGAGGTGGGAGTCACGTACCATGCCCATGCTGTTACCGAGAACCCATACTAGCGCTTGTTCGTTGATGGTTCGCGGGTTGGAGAGGAAGAAGAAAGCGAGGGTGAGGTGGAAGAGGGAGACGGAGGTAATGATGGTCGTGGAAGCTATTAGAGCCATGGTTGCGGATATGCGAGTATATGGTTTGTGAGAAATCTAAAACGGTGGGAGAAGCTGCGCCGGAGTCGAGTCGAGGAGTCGCGTGCCCGTTTTAGTCTATCATGGAGGGTTTCAGAACCAGATCGGCGTGGAGCGTCGAGCTATGTGTGTCGAACTATGCGAAGGGCTCAGGGAGAGATCAAGCTGGCGGAAAGGGAGAGCAAATGAACGCTGCGAATGAGTGGAACAGGCGCAGACGAAGCACCAGGTCACGCGGGAGAGCAGCAGGGTCGAAGGAAGCCTAGAGGACTGGCTGGAGCGACAGTGTGGTGTTGGCTATGCGCATCGTGATTCGGTACGGAATTCGTCAATCCAGGCGAAGACGTGGCGGCGCACTACAGCTGATTAGATTAGATGGCTGCCTTATCGGTTAGTGAGCTCAGGGTGCTGTGTGTTGTGCATCGCTCCACCGCGGCAGGCTGCCTTTGGCTTGTGATGGACCATGCCACCATGAGATTCCCCTGTCTTGGTATAAAGAAACCTGGGGCCAGTTAAGGCGAATGGTATGAAACCCTGTATCATTTTCTTTACATCTTCATTCTACGACGGAAATTGTACTTTGGTGTTATTTGTCAAGTACCGACAGCTTGTCGATTTCATGTGGGGGCCAGACTTCAAGTGCCCCAGCATCATATTGTTGAAGCTCCAAACCAAATCCCCCACCTTGACTGCTCTCCCCAGTAAGCTTCAAACAAGCTATCCCGACAACGCAACAGCGCATCCCAAGTATCGGCATAGGTCGTGTGAGTGGCCATTGCCAACGGCATCATATCCACCAACATGGCGGCCCTGAACAAGGAGAAACACATCAAGTACTGGCAACGATGTTACAACAGCTACCTTCCCACCCCATACACCAGCTCAGACTCGACCCGTTTGATGTGGGCATGCTTCATCACCTCTGCGTACGATCTGCTCTCAATCCCCTTCAGCTCCACTGACCGCACCAAGATCCGTTCCTGGGTTCTTAGCCTGCAGCACCCGGACGGCGGCTTCTGCGGCAGCCCAACCCACAGCCTCCCCGGCCAGGAGAGCCACAAGGGCACGGCCAACCTGGCCGCGACTTTCTTCGCCCTCATTACCCTCGCCATTGCCTCCGACGGCGAGGAGGAGGCCAGGGCTGCATTCGCCGGCGTTAAGCGGGGAAAGCTCCTGAGGTGGCTGAAGAAGCTGCAGAGAGACGATGGGAGCTTCGGGCAGAACCTGTGGGAGGGCAAGCCAGTTGGTGGCAGGGACACGAGACACAGCTATCTAGCCAGCTGCGTTCGGTGGATGTTGAGAGGCCATCGCAAAGATGACGATGAGCCCTGGGAGGACGACGTCGATGTGAAAGCCATGATTGCACATCTTCGAAGGGGACAAGTGAGACCAAGCCCAGCATTATCCAAAGTTTTACGAAACAAAGTTGTTCTAATACCGTTCACAGACATACGATGGTGGTCTCGCTGAGTTCTCAGAATATGAATCACATTGTACGTCCAAGTTCAATAGTTTCTAGTGGTTAACTTGGTCCGGGGTGTGCGAATCCGATTTGGTTCTAACTTTGTTTACAGCTGGTTACGCCTACTGTGCCGTGGGCGCATTGTGGTTCTTAGATCGACCCAGCTCGGCTTCTTCTCCACGACCGGAGCCCTCGTCCCTGACGGCAATGGATCAAGGCATCCCTGACCAGCCTGGCATGCTGAGGTTCCTTGCTGGTCGGCAGCTCAACTACCTCGCCGAGGAAGAGGACGAGGATGAGGAAGAGAACTTTATCCAGGACGCGGTTGGGAGTTTGACTTTAGAGGAGGGCTGCCGTCATGTCGGCTTCAACGGTAGATGGAACAAGAAGGCAGATACATGCTACGTTTGGTGGGCAGTAGCTACATTGGCTGTGAGTGGCCTCCCTTCTCTTTCTCCGCCTCACCTCTCACTGACTTCCCACATATAGATGCTCGGCAGCCCCTTTCCAGTAAACGTTGAGGGCTCCAGGAGATATCTACTTGAAGTTACGCAGCACCCTATAGGCGGCTTTGGCAAGTTTGCTGGCACGCCCCCCGATATCTACCACTCATATCTGGGGCTGGCGGTTCTGGCAGTGTTTGGCGACGCGGATTTGAAGGATTTCGACGCCGGCTTATGCTGCAGTAAGGAGACGACAGGGAAGATTGAAAAGGCAAGAGAAGGCTTACTCAAGGCGACCGAGGGCGAAGATCAAACGGCATGGACATCTGATGGCTTCTGGGCAAGCTAGAATGGCAAGGAAACTTTGCATCCATCACAAAATTCATTCTACTCAAGAATAAAATAAAATATAAAAAAAAAGAAAAGAGACAGAAGGAAAAAAGACAAGAAAGCCAGCGAAAATGAATCAGAGCCAAGAATTGCATTATCAGTTCCCATATGCGCAAAGGCACATCGCCGAGATTTACCCGCCCTCAGAAAACGGCCATGACTTCATCTCTAATTATCGTCGGCATCAATTGATAGCGCCGTTTTGCAAAGCTCGAACAATTCCGCATCTCCTCCACCAGCCAGCAGCGGCGCAATGTCCTCCGAGCCTCAAGACCCTTCCCAGGCCGAATCAGCAGTCTGGGACAAGCAGACCCGGCGCAAGTTCGAGAAGCAAGTAGCCCGTCCGCGCAGCCTCACCAGCCTCCGTCGCTAACCTCCACCACCAGCAAATCCACCAGCGAATTCTACGATCCCTGCCAAGCGGCCGCGCAACAAAGCTACAAATGTCTTTTCCGCAATGGCGGCGACAAGTCGATGTGCGGAGAGTACTTCCAGTACGTTCAGATGGGCCGACCGCGATTGAAGGAGAGAATTGAGCTGACCACGATGATTAGAGCCTACCGTGACTGCAAACAAGCTTGGGTATGTGGCTGTTCAATTCATGCGACCTTCTTTATCCCTTTTTGCTGACATATATTCTCACCCAGACTGAAAGGCGACGGGGAGTTCCATCGAAACCGAAAGAGTCGACGTCGGAATGATAGCGATAAGTCTGGAATAAGAAAAAAAGCATTAATTGTATAACACCATGTGATAGCGGTTTGCAACCGCAATCGATTCGAATGGTCATGAAGCCATGATATAATCTCTAAATAGATGTGTATATTTACTTGTATATCAACACGTTGGGGCAGGTGTGTGAATACGGCCTATGGAAGTTGTACCGAAATGACTTGCAAGATTTTCCGATTGGAGTCTAAGGTTATTATCTTCTTCGAGGTGGTAAGGACTTGTCATCCCTTCAAGAAATCCTGCATGGAATATATCAGAGCTCCTCGGCAGGATCAAACAGCTCTTGAGTTCTGTCCAGCGTAATGCACGATGCTCGATCATCAAGGCCTGCGCCACACGTCATGAGCCCACTTTAGCGGGGTAGTATCAGCCACAGCTCATGAGCTCTCCTTCGCTCTCGCTTTGTCAAAGTCCCCGCCAAACTTACCTGTGGCTCTCAAAAGAAATGCACGGGTGAGAAAAGAGGGAAAAAAGGGAGAAAAGTAATCGGTCTTATTGTTGCATCCTCTTCAAACTCAAAGTCACACCAGGGACCCGCTAGAGTCCCCCGAGCTCAAATGAACCGTTCACGACCTCGGCTCAAGAATGGAGTCGACCTTCAGCTGCAGTCCGCCTTCTCAGACGGCAACTGGCCAGTTGTGATCCGACTCGCTGAGAAGCGGATGCGGATGCTGAACGATCAGTATTACCAGGTCCGGACTTTGGCCAATATTCAGAATTATGTGCCAGGTATCAATCGCTAACCCCTTTTTACAGATCCTAAAAGTCGTTGCAGAGTCCCAGCTTGATGACCCAGCTCAGAAACTGGCGGCTGTCACGGCTCTATATCAGTACGTCAAGGACGGGACTGTGATCAAGGATGTGGACGCCATCGATCTATTGGAATGGGCAACCGGAGATCTCACCCATGAAGATGAGTTCCTAGAGACTCTGGGCCCGTTGCGAGTAAGAGCTGTGAAGGCTGCTCCCAAAGACAAAGTTTCAGCATCACGTGATTTGGAGTCATGTCTTTTGCATTGGGACCTCATTAGCTCTCAACAAGTATGTTCTGGTTTCTAGAAGACAAGGGGAAGGAGACTGCCAACTAACCAGTTGTAATAGATTGCCGCTACTTTAGACAGATCGTTCCCTCAAGAGAGGCAATTCTTGTTTTGGAACATCGTGGTCACCTATCTTCTCTCGGTAACGAACTTATTTTATGTCCATAAAAGGCAACTATTTACTGACGATGAATCTTAGACAAGCTCACAGGCTGATGCTACCAAGAAGAAGCTCTATGGTACTTTAGCGCTGAAACAGATAGAGAGAGCTGCTCAGGCCACAGAGCAGGTATTGTCTTTTCCTTCGGAATGTAATTCAAACCCGAGCATCTCCTTCTAACAAGAAACCACAGGTATTCCAAGCCGACTCAGCTGCTCCGGCACCGGCCCGGGGCATTCAATCAGAAGAGGAGATCCTCCTACTTTATGATATCATGGAAACCCACGGGTCATCAGCAGACCTAGAGAAGGTTACGAGCAGTCCAGTCTTCGGCCCTATCTCACAATTCCGTCAGGGCCGGAAGGAACCTTTATTACGGGTGATTGCCAACAGCCGTCGCGGCGGCAACTGGAATTCTATATTCCGTCTATGCAATGACTGCTTGTCTGAGGTCGATGAATCTGGTGAGCCAAATCTGATGGCTTCGGACTGGTCGATATGGAAGGAATTCATTGAGGCTGCAAACCACATCAAGTCTTCTGACGAGAGGTATGTGTCTGAGCTAGTAGTCAGAAAGTATCATCTCCCTGACAGTCTACAGTGCCCCGAAAACAGTACAGGAACTTCTCCTGAAACTATCCAAATCAACAAAGCTGCGTCCCATATATAAACGGAATTTGCAGCTTGCTCGAGTGTCTGCTGCCTTCTATCTTGCCACCAACGACAAGGAAGATTCTGGGAGTAATGCGGCGTCCTCTTTACAGTTACAAGAGCTTACCCAATATATCGAAGTCCATGCTACCAGCCCAGCTTGTTTTGATGATATCAAACCTTTCATTGAACTTTTGGGTCCTTTGGGCATGAAGAATCTGGCACACAAAATTCTCCCAGACCTTCTGAAAAGAAACGAGATTGAAGGTCGGGCTTCAAAAGCTATCAAAGTCCTCACTCTCAAAGTCCAGTACTTCGTTTCAACATCACCCCTATCATACACCACTATCCATGGGTCTTCCCCCAGCTACAAGTGTTCATTGTGTGAAAGCGAAACAGGCACACCCTCATGCTTATCTTGTTTTTCTACTCTTTCATGGCAAGGAATTCAAATCTACAAGTCCATCACTGAGGAATCGCCAGATGGGTTTTCTGCCGAATCCGATACCCTTTCAGAGCTTGTGCTTCTGATCGCTTTCTGCAGCCTTCAGCAGGCCAAGCTCAATTCTAAGCCTCCTTATTCCGCAGAATCGACCCGACACATACTCCAAGCAATGCTCCTCCTTGAACATCAACTTGCATTCAACCCGAAACACAGCCAGTTCTTACTCCTTCTCCTCCAAATGCACCTTCTTGTAGGCTCAGCTCCTAGGTCTCGCCAACTGTTGGAAGACCTTACCATTAAGCGCACAATCATGGATTCGTTGGGTCCCCTATTTTATGATCGCCTTTCAACACTATCTCCAAATGTTCTATCACCTTCCGACAATACAGGTTGGCAAGTGATGGATATGCTTTCATCGCACTTCAATGTTTCACTGAAGCTCAGGATGCCTCGTCGCCTTGTTGACGCTTTCGAATCAGAGTGCTATAGCTCGGTCTTGAGTATCCCTAAATACATCAATGATCTTCGGAGAAGTTGCACGCGGGCAATGAGTCTTGTGGAAGAGAACAGGTCCGAGAGACTCCTTGGCTGCCCTACTTGGGAATTCTTCAGCGAGGATCGCTATAGTATGTGATGGCAAAACCCTCCTCTATTCGGTGCTAACCTCGTGTAACAGCTGAAACTACTGATGACACGGAACTGAAGAGTGTTATTGATTATGGATCCTTCCCTTCCTGGGAGAGCAGTGCAGTATCCCCGCTCTATTCTCGCTTGCGAGTTGGGCCGATACCAAGCGTAAGCTCTCCTTCCTTCGTCCTTACAGGTCCTACGACTAACCCCCAATGTGTGGTCAGAATCGCCGACTTCACCTTGCCCTTCTTGCCGAAGGCTTTCAGGAAACCCTGGGGTACAAGCCCCCTACAGCATACAAAGTCGTCAATACCACACTAGCACCAGACCAGCTATTTGTGCTGGAGTCCCTGAGCCAGATCAACAATTCTCTGTCCCGCTTCCTCCCCGGCCCCGATGACGAGCTCACAGCACCAGAGATTGTCTACTACGATCTCATCAATCTCCTGAGCACCCTTATTCCTCTCTGCGCTACTAGCCCACGGTCAGCTGGCTCCGAGGAAGTGTTCGGCGAGCTCACCAAGGCGGCAGAGGCTGCGTTAGACACCCTTCGTCTCCAGCTTCCTTCCGAAGACGATGACAGTCTTGAGGGAACTATTTCTGCGCTTGGGTCTATGCATGGCCTAGCAATGTACCGAGATGCCGCTGTTGCCATTTCAGGCACAGCACAGTGGATACTTGACTTTAACAAACATGAAAAGGAGCGCGACCGATCCGGTCAAAGTAACCTCCCCAAGGACACAGTTGGCCAGGTCACGGCCCTGCAGTCCGCCGCCGCCGCGGCGCTCAAGGATGGTCAATCGCGGGTTTCCGGACTCAAAGGCCGAGTCCAGGGCTCCTTCCAGTCCCGACTTAAGACATGGGTGTTCGAGGGTGCAGAGGATATCCGAGACATTGTCGAGGACGACATCGTGGCTGATTTGGCCTCGCACATAAGAGAAAACGTACAGGGCTGGCAACATGTGAAATGGGAGTAAAATAGAATATAGACAACTCGCGTGGGACACAGGCTTGGCTTGGTGTACAAGTGAGTCTTAGAGACTCATACTGCCTTCTATGCAATCCTATCCGTTGACTCCGCGACTAGCAGTACTCGCTTTGATAATGCCCATCATGCCGTCTAACCTTGGAAAACGCAGTGGCTAGAATACCCAATCTAGATGCAACACCATATGCGCCTACCCGAATATATTGGCCCTTCTCTGCATGATACAGGTCACAAATGGCCTCGAAATATCACAAAGCGGTCTCCCAGCCACCCTGGCATCCCCTGGACAACAACCTATGTGCGGGATTCATTCTGCCGCACACCGACTGCTGGTTGCGCGGCATCGGCCTGATAATCACTTGCTCACCAGGTAACATCCTTCTTTTCGTCCAGTGGCTTTCCTGAAACCCATGCTAGCGATCCTGCATCAGAACTTTCTTCTGCGAGTCACAATTTCGGTCGCACAGCATGATATGCACCCAGGACCAGAGCGTTAGGTTTCCACAGACCTACCACCCATTTAAGTAAATGACAGTACTCCTTAATATTTGGATTGTAACGGGAGTGTATGACGAGTTATCGTTCTCCTCGGTGTTAATTTCCTAACAATAGCAGATCAGCTTGTTGGGTGGCGGCCACAAGGGCTTGGCCTGCAGTTTTTCTTTTCTTTTCTTTTTCCAGCCCCCATCAAACACGAGGATTCCGGACTGCAGGTAAGCGAGCTGCATCTTCGTTCTGGGTCCGGGGCAACGCCTTGGAGGAAAATTTATACCCATGATAGTGTCCGAGCTGACGCTCGCCTGTAGTACTGTTGAAAAATAAAGCTGCTGCCCTCGACTGAAGGAGCTTCCCTCCCTTCAATCTGTCATACACTTTCCAAAGCTGGACATCTCAAGTTCGCTCGCCCTCCATCTGCTTATCAATTGCTTCCGCCTCTTCAGCGTGACGCTTTCTTCAGTCTCGGATCGTCCAAATCCCTTGGGCTCGGACGCTATCTCAAGATGTTCCTACCTCCCATACAAAGCAGTTTCCCACTGCTCCCTGGGTTTAGCTTTGGCCAAAATCCAACGAGCTACCCGGTTCATAATGATTCTCACATCAGTTACAGGGTGCTGACTTTCAAAAAATATGGAAAGTGGAATGATCCGTCCGAGCGTACGACTATAAACAGTAACTTGGTCGTCCTCTTCCGAGTCTTGGCCTTTTACATTGACCTTCAAGCCCTCCCGGGCTTTTGGGAAAACATCGCTCAGGGTTGGAACGTGACCAATGTGGACAATACAAGGTCAATTGTCAATTTCTACGCAGATCGACACCAAGATTGGGTCAAAGGCCCAGGAATGAGTACCAAGAACATGACCTGGCGAGATACGCTGCTTGTACACCTGGTTGGGTACTGGTGTGAACATCGTAGCAAATCAATACGCCAGTCTGGGCCTAATGATCTACGTCTCTTCCGAGATATGGGCATTGAGTGGTCCTATCTGAGGGACCGCCGCCGAGGAACCTTGTTTTCCGAGATGGGGCACGCATCATTGAGGGGGTTGGCTCGGAACGTCCCAAAACTGACTATTTCCCATTCCTTCTGTTTCCAGCGTGACAAAACGCCTGCTCGGCGCGTTGGCCAAAGTCAAGAGCTCAACGGGACTTGGGAGAGCCGTACGGACCCTCCGACGGGACCCAAGTCGTCTCAGTCATTTAGGGGAGGGCGCACCGAACAAAGGAACCCTCGCCACGACCCTAGAAGTTCCAGTATGCCTAGAGGAGCTCAGCCTTTGGGTGCAAGCTTCAGCGAGCCCCGAAGATCTTGGCTGCCAAGTGGAGTTGTCAATGAACCTGTGACATCTCAACCATCCGAAACATGTCAGATGATAACTGGCGGGCATCAGCAGCAACACGAAGAATACATCGCATCGCAACCTTTCCAAGTCAATCCAAGCCACCTTGGTGTTTCCCAGTCTCTCGATTCAAGCTGCCCACAATCCCAGGAAATCCCAGTCATGGCCAAGAGTGTTACACCGGCCAAGGTCACCAAGGGCACCACTCCCAAACCCCGCACAAAGACAACACAGCCGAAGAAACAAGCACCCCTTTCTCCGAAGCGAATTCAGAAGGCACCCACCTCGTCTCCATCTTCCAGCACCGGCAGCGACGGTGACGTCGACTCGGAAGAATCCGAGTCCGAGTCTGAGAGCGAGACTGAAGCCAGCAGTGTCTACCAAGATACTGGCTCGGGCGCTGAGCCGGGTGTCATACAACGTTTCAAACGCGACCATATCCCCCGAAAGATGACTCGAAGCCTTACTGCAAGTCCCTCTGGCAACTCCTCGAGCAGTGGGAGTGGAGACAGCAGTGATTCTGATAGCGACAGCGACAGCAACGATCAGTTCGACGAAAATAACCACGAACGTGCCAGTGACAGCATCGGTGAAAGGAGCAGTGGTAGCGACAGCGACGGCTACAGTGGCTACACGAGCAACAGTAGCGAAGGCAGTAGCAAAGACAATGTCAGCGGCAAAGGTAGCTCCAGGAGTACCACCAACGAAGGCAGCAGTGCCTATGACAGCGATTGTAGCAGCGATGGTAGCGACGACGACAGCGATGATAGCGAAGATGAGAGTGATTCCGAGTCCGAGCCGCCAAAGCCCCTTACTCCCAAAAAGACTGTCAAGAAGCCCGCCAAGACACCCGCGACGGCTTCAACGCGTGGTAAAAACAAGGCCCGGCCTTCGAATGGCACGAAAGGGGAGGAAGCTTATATCAAATCCGAACCCGACTCTGACTCCGGCCTCCCACCAGTGCCCATGGCGTCAATCTCGGCAAAGGATCAGGAGCCTCCCACCTCGGCCCAGAGAGCTTCCGTTCCACCTTCAAAGCGTAAGGAAAGGCCAAAACCAGAGGTCCGATCTGCCAAGAGGGGCCGCGAAGAAGACGAGGTCGAGAAACAGACCGCTACTGGGCGGCCCGCGGCGAAGAGAAGGGCAACAACTCAGCAACAAAGCAGTCCTAGTGAGAAAACCAAGTCAAGCAAGGCTCGACGTCACGACAAGAAACCGCCGGCCGAGGCTCCATGCGGTGTAGAGTCATCCAAATCCAGGCGGTTTGCTGAGAATGGGAGTAGCCCTCTTCTAGAGCAAACGTTCAAGGATCTTCCCCAGATCGAATCAGAGCACAAGCGCTCCATTGACATGCTGATGCAGCGTATAAATGCAATGGAAGAGAAGAGCATCAGACAAGACAAAAAAATCACAAAACAAGACGAAAAGATTATGAAGCAAGACAAGAAAATCATAAGGCAGGATAAAAAGATCATTAGACAGGATGAGAAGATTATGCGTCAGGATGAGAAATTGATGAAATAGGCCGATTTGGTGTGTGTAAGTTCCATGAACATGCAATGAAGTTTTGGGGGGGTGGCCTTGGACAAGTGAGCGACCGAGGCGGTTGTTGAACTAGATAGAGGTAATTGAATGTATCATTGAGGTTTCAAACTCATTCTCGTGTCGTATGGCATTCTAGATCCTTTTCCCCAGTGCGTGCGGTTATCACATTCAGTGCTTCTGTCTTAGCGATCATGGGCACACAACCAAGATTGTGCCATACACATTGTGCCTTGGGCCAGTATGTCAATGCTGTTAAATTTCACGTTGATTACGATAGCTCTGCCAGCATGTTAAGCTCCCAAAGACCCATTTCATCAAGTTGGTAAGTGGTGCAGCAGCTTTTGGCAACCCTAAGCGGTACCCACCCCTCAGCTAGGTATTCCCATTAAAACAAACTAATCGTCCGAGTGGTAACTGAGAGATGCTTTTTAGACCATGAGTATCTTACCCTCTAGAGCGCAGTCTACTGCGAACAATATGGCCAGTACTGGTAACCCTTCGAGTGACGACTCGAGAGAGGATCGCAATCAATAAATTAAAATGAAATCGGTCCTTTCAGAAGCATCTAATACCTATGCAATGGTCTTAGGTTGCCATGGCCAGAAAAAAAATACCAAAATGGATAAAGATGAGGTTCACGAAGATGTTCGCAAGTGTCTATACAACTTTATCTAGGTAAGACGAGTCTAGACTCACGCTGGGCGCTGCGGGGTTGCGATGATCAGATGCTTGACCTGTCGCTGGCGTATAGAAGGCACTTGAGACGGGGTGGGGGGGGGGAATGCGCCATCAACGGTCTCAGTCCAGTCAGAGGCCACAATTTGAATCCATACCAACCCGACAAAAATATACTTGTCTTGCTTATGGAGACGAGACGTGCACAATGGCAACACAGTGAACACTGTGCACTCACCCAATCACCTCACGTCGCTTCATGGCAGGTTTTGTTTGGGTGGACCTCGTCATTCCTGTGTGGGATTTGACTGATGTTGTGGCTTGCGAGTCTGGAATTGTCAACGGTCGATGCTTGGTCTGTCTCGGCGAACGGCGAGAGCCAACCGTATCTTCCCTGCTGGGTCGAAAAGGAGCCCCAGCATCTGCCGACCAGGGCGCAGGGACAGGCAGAGAAGAGATCTGTTGCTGGACCGGATTGCACTTGGAATAATATTGGCATTGATTGATTGATTGTTCTGAGGGAGAATCCGAGGACTGGGCCCCCTGGACTCGTCCTAGGGGTCTGCGTAGGTGTCGGGGCTCCCTGGTCGTCCCCATCGCTCCATCGCACAGTATCGTCGTCACAGTAGTACGTACCCCATGAAGAGGAACGATCGACGTTCCAGGATGACGAAATTGGCGCTCAGGTGCGACTGATCGCCAAGACTTTTGGACAGAGCCAACCAGGGGACACGGGCCACCTTGAACTGGACAAAACCAGATGGAGATCTCAGCGAATTGGTTCTGGGCGCCCCCTTATTCGCGCCTGCTAGAGGCATCGCCCGTCGTACAGAGTAATTGCTGGTCAGAGCTCGAGGCCTGGAGCCAACAAAAACAAAGACTGGAACCGCCTGCGAAGCCCCTGACTGGGACTGGCACGGACGGCAGCCATGGATCGGTGGCCTCGATGGACATGGACGTGGATTTGCCAGCCAGTGCCACTGCACTGTTTGATTGTTTCATGTCGCGGTTTCGGCTGGCATGGAATAAGCTTTTGCTGTGCCTTGGCTTGACTCTGTGGCGCTCGACCCACCCGCAGCTGCTTCTGGAACATTGTTCCAGGAGGTGAGGAAGGAGCACTCGCTGCACCTGGAGGGAGAAGGCACGCGCGGCAGTCGACGGTTTCGTCCACATCGCACTGGCCTGCCCCATCCCAACACCACAACATGGATGGCCGCATGCGTTCCATCCAAGCTCCCACCTGCCTTACCGTGTCCTCTCTGACATACGCGCTCCCTCCCCCCTTTGCTGTGAATGTGAGGTGACAGCTCCACGCAGATGCCACTTGCAAGGGCGCCTGGCCTCGTCCATCAGTCTCGGAAAGCCAAGAAAGCCAAGCAATGAGGCCACACGGTAATGCCACACTACGTAAGAAGGTATGTCAGTATTTCCATGTGGATGCCGTTCGTCCTGATGCTGGTATGACGGCCAAACACGCGAGGCTAAGTGAATGCGTACCAATCTGATGCTATGTACAAGACCCATCTCAGAAATGTCGTGGGTGGTCCCTTCCCGCCATTGGCGCAACTTACGAGTTCTGTTTGCGTTTCGCTTCCCTTCCCTTCGCTTTCCTCTCTCCCACATCACCGTACAGTGTCTGAGCTCGACGATCTCTTTAATACCTCCCCTCCGAAACACCCCTGCCCGCCTAGCTCAGGCAGTGTCTTGCTGATCTCTCATTCCGGCGGGATACACCTCGATCAATACTGGGGCATTCGTCATCCTCTTTTCTTCTCCTCGCTCCCATCTCCCCATTATCCGGACCAACTTCATCTTTCTCTCCTCTCTCTGCTTCGTCTAGTGAGCTCTCGCCACAGTTCACTTCCTCAATCGAGGATGCCTAGCACCCCACGATAGGAAACACTCTCCTTCCACTTAGTCATTCAACCCCTTACTTCGTTGACATCTCAAACTCGTCATTTTCTCACTTCAATCCCCGGAGGACCCTGGAGCATACCATTTTACTTAGACCATTCTTTTAATTCCGACCCAAGAAAAGCCCTGCGCGGCGCATCACATCTCGTTTTCTCTTTACCATTTCAAGTACTCTTTCTCAACGCCTGGACACTTTACTCACGACCCTTGCACAGCTCAACCCATTTATACAGAGCTACGGACCTACGCCATGAGGGCACCTATCTACATGTCGCCAGGTACTTACAGGAGAGCCTTGGTCTTGGCTTCAATCATCTTCTCAATCACAGTCATCTCTCTGGTGACATCCGACCACGCAGCTTATTCTCATCACCGTCGGCCCCCAACGACGTCATGGTCATTTCCGTCAGGTGAGACCCCTGGTCAAATAAAAGCCAAGGAATGCCCGTTGGAAAGCTCCTACCTTCGACGACATCAAAACAGTCTAACCAGGGAAATTGTCTACCACTCACACTGCATTCGACTCTCCGACACTGAGCTCGCCCAAAGGAATGTGGTTGCCGACATCAACGCTCCGCTTCTTGAACGTGGCCGTATTATCGATCGCCAAGGATCATGTGAGGAATGGAAGCCAACCCATTGTGATACCATCGACCTGAAGGTTCCAAGGCCCTTCCCGACCCAGAAATATCCACAACTGCTCTTCGGCCTCGCCACGAGCTATGACCGTCTTCTCGACTCGCTTTCCCAACTCACTCACTGGCTCTCTGGCTCCGGAGCTCGTCTCGTAGTCATCATTATCGACGCTAACAACCATGCTTCGGAACTCGGTCGCCTGCTCCACCTCTTCAGGAGCCACGATATCGATCTCGTTGTCGCACCTCCCTGGGCAGATGGATCTCTCGGCGCAAATGAGCAGCACTTCACCATCCTCCGCGATATGTTAAATCACCTCACTCCCGACACTAAGTGGCTTGGTATCATTGACGACGATACCTTCTTCCCTTCGCTCTATCCACTCGCCGCTCTCCTCGCCGATCGTGACCATACCAAACCTGCATACCTCGGTGCCCTTTCGGATAGCCTCGATGCCCTCCAGAGACACGGAATGATGGCATATGGTGGGGCCGGTGCTTTCTTGAGCATCTCGTTAGCGGAGCAGATTGAGCCAAAGATAGAGAGCTGCTTGAAATCCAGCCCATCTCCCCAAGGAGATGCACTTCTCAAGAATTGTATTGCCAACCAAACAACCACCGAGCTGGAACTTCTGCCAGGCCTTAATCAGCTCGACATTATGGGCGATCCCAGTGGCTTCTATGAATCCGGACGGTATCCTGTGAGCCTGCACCACTGGAAGTCTTGGCACCACAACCCGGTTGACCTAATGGCGAAAACCACGGAGCTGTGTGGGTCGTGCATGATGCAACGATGGCGGTTCGGATCTGATACTGTGCTTTCAAACGGTTACAGCATCGTGCAATACAAGGAAGGGATCGACCTCGAAGAACTCGAACACACAGAGGCAACCTTTGATTGGAGCCATCTTTACGAATGGAGTCTGGGACCGCTACGAAACAAAACAGAGCCACGTCTCAAAAAGAAATATCAGCTTGTTGATTCCGAGATGGTTGGCGGCACCCTGAGGCAGTTGTATTTACACAGAGCCGAAGACTTTGGATCAGTACAATACTCGTCTGGAAAACTCGTTAGCAAATCCGACAAGGTAGCCAGGGATGAGTTGGTGGAATTATGGTGGGATTGGTCGAGTCTCTTGGCGCGATGAGGGATCCGGTGTTGGCTTCCCGCTCTTTCTCCTATCAAAGAGAAAAATAAAGGATGGCTGGCCTCCTTTTTCTGGGTGCTGGGCCCTTTCTGATCCAGCCATGGTTTCTCCAATTCATTGCCCGTGGCCTCGCATCACAAGATGATGTCGTCGCTGGCTAGCGTCGGCCTTGGCAGCTGTGCGAGGCCGGCCGCTCAACGCCAAGTTTTTACTCACCCGACAGCAAAATCAAGCCCCGAATTTAGGTGTGCACCTAAGGGTTTGGTGGGGTGGTGGGAAACTGGCGATATCGGCTATTGTGTGAAAGGAATCGGGCTAGGAAGAAGAGGGGGCGTCTTAACCTGATATGGACAGGAAGATAACGCCCAGCGACACTGTATATAAGATCAGATGTAGAATATCCCATTTGAGATTCTTGGTCAGATGACTACAATAATAATTTATGTCAAACCGAGTCCCAGCTTCGGACTACTCATACTATTTGAACAGCGATGACTTCCCAACATGTGCGTCATGGAGAGAATATCGTTGGCCGGCTCCTAGTGGGTTTTCTTATCGTCGCCGTGATATGGAGATGCTCAGTCTTCATCCTCCAAGTTGGTTGATT